CTGCTTTAGAGCAGAACCCTGAAATCCTAAACCTCAAACCCTAAAGCAAGCATGCCAACACCAAATGCACTCAACCCTGGATCGGGAAGCGATCTAATCTCTAAACCCGAAGCCATAAAGACCCCCAACCACCCCTAGTTGAGTCCCGACAGATCGCCTCTGAAGCCCGCAAGAATATAGTGAACCCAGAAAGTTGGGACATGAATTTAGGATGATTCGTGTTGGGATCCCCTGTACCTACACTTGAGGGAATCAGAATATTGATGTTCCAACTTTCTGGCTTCTACTGTAGATTTAGAGATAGAAACAGATTTAGATATAGATACCGATGTAGATAGTTGATACAGATACAGATATAGACATAGAGATACATTGGAGAAGAGGTAAGGAAAGAGATACGGCGGATACAGATTAGATACAGATAGAGAAAGAGCAGGACATAGATATAAAGACAGATATATAGATATAGCAGATATGGATATGGATATAAATATAGGGATAGACATAGCGCAAACATAATTCATGCTGCATCCCCGCGAAACCTCAAAACCCACAGCCTGCCTGGCTTTACAGGGGTTCGAAACCCGTGATACAGCGATCTTTAATCTCACCGGCCCAAAGCCCAAGGGAATAAAAATTGAAACTTTCAGAATCGACTACCTTATAAGAACACCAAAAGTTGAAAAGTTGAGTTCACAGCCAAACAGTAATGGGCGTTGTTTTGTATTATGGGCTTTCGCAATGGGCATCACATACGTTCATGTCCAAGGCGCACCAAAGCCGATCGCCTCCACCAAGAAGGTCAAGTTCATGACCTCAGTTTAGGGTCGGGGAAGGGTTCCAACTATCAGTTCGGTCAAATTACAAGGACTTCAGAATAAGGACGCTCCTATTTTTCCGAAGCTCCTATATCGCGTCCTCGCATGTCAAACAGATTTGACAGGTAAAACACCGTATGTGTGCACCGAATTGCACACGTCTATGCATATCTGACCATATAGTTGTGGTATGTACAGGTATATATAGTACCCTAAGGAACCCTCTTTTCGACGATAGGACCCATATTTTTGGAAACTCCATAGATCCCTTAAAGGAACCCGTATAGTACCCTTTAAAGGAACCCTATGTGATAGGAACCCTGTTTTTGGAAACTCCCATCCCAGACCCCCGGGAGGATCTAGAAAGTAGATCCCCTAATTTGGGGCCCTATACTAGTAAGGGTACTTTATGGGAACCCCCCCATTAAGGGATCTACTTTTTGGATCCTCCCGGGGGTCTGGGATAGTGTGCACTCGACCGCTGGCTGTGTTTCCAAAGCAGAGAAGCGCTCGCCCTCGGCTTCGATTTGCGCTTAGGGCTCCTTTGAAGGGTACTATAAGGGCTCCTCTAAGGGAGGCTTTAGGGTTCCATTAAAGGGTACCATAAAGGATCCTTTACGGGAGGCTTTAGGGTTTAGGGTTTAGGATTTAGGGTTTAGGATTCAAGGTTTAAGGACTAGGCTTTAGGTCTTAGGGTTTTGGGGTTTGGGGTGTAAGGTTTAGGGAATTCTACTACGTGGCCGCCTGAGTCCAGGTGGCGACAGAAAGATCCAGAAACCTGAAGATCTAAACCTGGATTCTTGATGTTCGTGCATGACTGCCACATGGGAGTTTCCGATAAGGGGCCCTAATGTGGTACCCTAAATAGTAGGATCCTTATTATAAGGACCTCAGAAGAAGGGTATCCCTAATTTCGGAAACTCCCATGTGGTTGCAGCGGCAGGGCGCCAAACTCCATACCTTATAAGCTCTGATCCGAGATCACAAATCCAAAACCCGAAACCACAACCTCAAACCCAGACCTAAGCCCCCAAACTTGAGCCTGGAATCGCCAAAGACTAAAGGGTACAACAACAAAAATACCCTGAAAGGCCAGAGTCCTCTAAGAATCCCTACACTTCTTGGCGTCCCACCACGGGCCGAAGCCACAGGACGTCGTAAAGCTCCTTTCTGCAGGTCGCCTGCCCCCGCACGGTGCTTCGGGGCCCAAAAAACTGAAACGCGAAAGCCCGGGACAAAATCGGTTTAGGGTTTAGGGTTTAGCAAACCATCACCTGATTATTGTAACTGTTATTACTAGTAGTATTATTGATAGGCCCGTATTTGATCGCCTCTTCTACCCTCAGCACCACCCTCGCGCCCCAAAGGGACAGTAAGCATATGCCAAAAAACTCAAAACGCAAAACCCCAGAGCACGAACTCAAAACCCACAACTCATCAGAAAACACCCGAAGCCCTCTCTGTCAAACCCTGCTTGGGGTTCATGGGTAGTTTTAAGCGGGGTTTTTCGTAGGGTGACCACAACTATAACCACAGTAGGGGACTTATAACCCACTTATACCCGCCCATGAAGCTCCAAGTAGACCCTATCCTGCATCCCAAAGCTTTGCACTTTGCTTCGCCTGGCACGCTGCACTGGCAAAGGGCCCCTGGAGACGGAAGATGGGCACGTGCGCCTGCCCTGGGATGAGTCGGAGATTTAGTAATAGTAACAGTAAATGTAATAGTAATAGTAGCTGATGGTATTTATAGTACCAGTAAGTAGCAATAATAATAGGACAACCAAAATGTCAGAATGTTCACGACTATGATGAGAAACCTTCAAACCTTCATCTTGCCAAATGCTTGGTATTGCTCGTAGCCAGGAGGGTAGTCCCACTCGTCTTAGACAATAGTTGGAGAGTTTAGGGTTTTGAGTTTGGGGTTTTGGGGTTAGGGGTTGAGAAGGATCAGAGGCATTAGAACGTACGTTCAGCAATCAGGCAAGTGGAGCTCTGATACGCACGACTTACAACTTTAAGAACTAACGGTAACTAACGTACTTGTGGCCCTACACATCAAACTGCCTGACCTTGTTAATAATACTGGCCAGAATAAAGCAGAGGAGTGATCACAAATTACTAACGACAACCCAGACAGATTACAGTAACGTTCCGTAGGGTTGCATGAAGGCGGCTTAGAGTCGGCTTGGAGGGCTGAGGATTTAGGGTTCGGGTTCATACTATAAGATCCGTTCCCGTAAGGTTTCGAGACATGGCTGCCACCAAGGTGCCGAAAGCGCATGTAAGCATAATGCGCCAGTCTCTCCAAAGCCACCGCCTAGCGTTTTCACAGACTTGCAGCAGCTGCAGCCGGAGGAGTGGCAGCAAAAGTATTAAGTAGCCGATGCGGCGGCGGTCCTACTCCTACTCCTAAGCCCCCATAGTAAACTTGCAAACTGTCCGCCCTGCGATCTCCTGATCCGACCTCTGTCAAATGGCCAGAAACTGGTACTAGTACTACTACTACTACTACCACAAGCCGGAGATCTGGCTCAGAAGGACGTGTAGTTTGCAATGGTTTTGAGGCTTGGTATGGACTTTTAGCCTCCCCGGAGGTGGGCCGATAGTGGTGTGCTGACAATAAAAAGAATAAACAATCAGGCAACCACCATCCCAGAGTGATCATCAGCAGGCATCATCATGATCAATGTCTTCGTCATCGCTATCATCATCAGCGCCATCACCGTCACCACCACCATCATCACCACCATCGTTATCAACATCGAGATCACCGCCACCATCGCAAACTCATCTTAACAGCATCCAGTGCAGCTCTGTGATCCGATCGCTGTGGCCTCAAGGACGGCGCAGCATTGATCTCTTTGGCCAGAGCGAACATGTAGTAACCTCAAGGGTTTGGGCGCACAGGGCTGGGAGAACTCCACAGCCGGCCTTTTGAGGCCTTACTGGGCTCCGCGGGTCTTGCGCAAGGTTTCTTGCAACAGTTTACGGTTTAGTTTATGGGCTTTAAAGGTATCAGGGTTAAGTTCCTACGGTGGTGGTCAAGTTCAAAGTGTTTTCTTGGTTTGTCTTGCCGTGGGGTTTCTCAGGCTGGAGAATCGGGAAGCTGGGTATGCTAAATGAAAGTGAGGCCAAAGCATTGGGTTACCATACACCCCACCCCACCCCGCCCCAGCCCTCCCCACGAAAAGTGCATCTACGAGTTCTTCTGATTCTCCAACAACCCCGTACCCTGCACGAGAGCAGCTTCATATCCAGAAGCTCTGAAACCCTTTACCCTAAACCCTCTAAGCCCTGAGAATTCAAACAGCCCGAACACCCTTACTAAAGGAATCTTCTCTGAACCATCGTGACTCACAATTAATTAAAGGACTATACGTACTCCTTCACTATGTAAACTGCATTTTGCAATCAGCAGGGTCCATAATATCAAGTCCTTATAATGCATCTGTAGAAAGCCCTCTTGAAGGCCGTGAAGAAATCGACATGCCTTCAAGAAGATGGGCAGTTCAGGGAAAACCCATGTCTTGGGCTTGGGCCATAGTCGACGCCTGGGCTCCAAGCTCGAGGTCTACGGCTTCGGGCGCAGGAATCTGAAGGCGCTTTATGCAGGCTGTTCGGGGTTTGAAGGTGTTGGGATTCAGGGTAGGGTTTAGGGTTTAGGGTTTAGGGTTTAGGGTTTAGGGTTTAGACGGAAGTTTACGGGTTGCGGGGGTGTGAGGAGGGTCTTTTGACACATGAGTAGTGTTGCTAAGCGTCGATGAGGCTTTCCAAAATCTTAATGCCCTGCTTGTCCAATATCATGGGGAACAGTACCCCAAAACGGTTACCCCTCAGGTAGACATGTAGACTCCCTTCACAAATGTAAATCTTTCTAGCGTGCTGGGGTACAAGCCCTACACCCTGAACCCTGAACCCTAAAAAATGAACTGTAAGGCCCCAGGGCGCGCTGCATTTCGTCGACATAGTATAGGTATTAATTCAAGCTCCTATAGTGTAGTTTGTTCTGAAACAACCACGTTAACATGACATAGACCCCGTGACTCTAGGAGCCCAAAACCGTCAACTCTAACCAACAAGCCTAAGCCCTGAGGCCCAAAATCCTATATGCCTTACATCCCTAAACTCAAAAACCTAAACTTCCAAAACCCGAAAATCCTGAAGTGCCTGAACTACAAACTCAAAACCCGAAACCAACAAGCCCTGCGGTGAAGGCGCCGTAGCAAAGCCTCGAACCCTTCAGCCGGTAGCAGGCGCGATCCAGGGAGCTGCCCTCCTAGTAGAAGGGCTCTAGAGTCTAGATTGAGGCCCCTTTTGTCGGGGTTCATGTAGGAACCTGATTGAGAAACCTTGGGCCTTTATTCGGGTTCCCGATATGAATCCTACTATTTTGGGAGTTATAGGCCCAGGGTTTCTTAATCAGGTTCGTACTTTAGGGTGTTGCGAGATCTTTTGGTGTGCTTTTGGTTTCACAGCCTTCGGGCTTTGAAGGTGTTTATAGAAGGATGCACAAGGGTGCATCGGCGTGGTTCAGGTTTCAAGAAAGGCACATACCGTCATCCTAAGCACCAAACTCCCGAGCTCCCTGAAGCTCGACAGCCAGAAGACAACCAACCACCGTACATCTCAACCGTCTTTCCACAAGCCTGACACCGCGATAGACAAAATAGAACTCCTCCACTTGGTTCTGCAGCCGCTGACACCACCACATTGCTTGCATCTCGGCCATCGGAGGAATGGCACCTGCCAGGAGACATCAGACCGACCACAACGACGACCACGACCGCGACATCAACTACGACAAAAACGGCTTGATACTACAGATACGACCAAGACAACGACGACTACTGCTGCTGCTGCTGCTACTACTACTACTACTACTGCTACCAATGCTACCAATGCTGCTACTGCCACTACTCCTGCTACCGCTGCTGCTGCGGCTTCTGCTACTGCTACTGCTGCTACTGCTGCTGCTGCTGATTTCTACAACAACTACTACTTCTTACTACTACTACTACTACTACTACTACTACTACTACTACTACTACTACTACTACTACTACTACTACTACTACTACTACTACTACTACTACTACTACTACTACTACTACTACTACTACTACTACTACTACTACTACTACTACTACTACTACTACTACTACTACTACTACTACTACTACTACTACTACTACTACTACGACGACGACTACGGCTACTACTCTATACTACTACCACTACTACTACTACTACTACTACTACTACTACTACTACTACTACTACTACTACTACTACTACTACTACTACTACTACTACTACTACTACTACTACTACTACTACTACTACTACTACTACTACTACTACTACTACTACTACTACTACTACTACTACTACTACTACTACTACTACTACTACTACTACTACTACTACTACTACTACTACTACTACTACTACTACTACTTCTACGACTCCTACTACTGCTGCTACTGCTGCTACGACTCCTACTACTGCTGCTACTACTGCTACTGAGTTACTACTACTGTATGACTATCCATGCTAGTAATCATCTTCTCCTTCAACATCACACTGCGGCTGCGACTGCACTACGACCCACGACTACGACTGCCGACCACTGCCGCTGTACTTTACCACTACCACGACGGAAACCATTACCACTACCACCAAAACTCCAGCTCCAACACCAACACCACCACCACCCCCACCACTAATTACCGCAACCCGCCACCACCACCACCACCACCACCACCACTGCCACCACTGCCACCACCACCACCACCACCACCACCACCACCACCACCACCACCACCACCACCACCACTGCCACCACCACCACCGCCGCCACCACCAACAACGACACCAGCACCAGCACCAGCACCAGCAACAGCAACAGCAACAGCGACACAACCAACAACACAACCAACAAAACAACCAACAGCAACAACGACAGCAACAGTGACAGCAACAGCGACGACAACAGCGACAGCAACAGCGACAGCAACAGCGACAGCAACAGCGACAGCAACAGCGACAGCAACAGCGACAGCAACAGCGACAGCAACAGCGAAAGCAACAGCGATAGCAACGGCAACAGGTCTTCGACTACGGAGACTAAGGCGACACTAACAATCGCAGCATAACGCTGCTTTAATGTCCTTAGTCATCGGTTTCACCTATCACAGCCTGCGACATTGTCACCGCCACTAGCGGGTCTCAAAACGGACACAGCGCTATCGAGGAAGAGCGGGAAAAGTGCATGACACGGCTGCCCGGCCCGGAACCCTAAACCCTAAACCCCAAAACCCTAAGATCCTGAACCCAGGTCAATAGGCTTCCAGCTGAAAAGGTAGCCCGTCGCCCGTCACCCTTCAAGTCCTGAAGCCTACTTGGAGGTTTATGGGTAGTTATAAGTAGGGTTATAAATAGGATAACCATGATCAAAACCCATATTATGGGACTTATAACCCCACTCATAACTGCGCATGAAACTCCAAGTAACCCCCAGACCCTCAAACTTTACACCTAATCCTATCACGAAACCCTCGTTCCCGGTCCGGCCTACGTTGGGCCGGATGAAGCCTCGAGGAGCCAGTGAACAATGAATTGGTGGGTTCGGACTCGAGGGCGTGTGGGGAGTAAACCCCAAACCCTGAACCCTAAACCGTTTCATAAAAAGGCCTAAATGATTACCAATACTATTTTGGGGATTCCGTATTATAGTTATAGTATAATGGGCCCCAAGTTCCTATTCTAAATATTAAGGCCCCTATGGTAAGGGGCCTGGCAGTTTGGGGCTCAGGGTTTCATGACTTCGCTTTTGATGTGGGCTGAGGGAAGTTGGGGCTTAAGGCTTAAGGCTCTCGGTGTATGATTCACGCTTCTGTCAGATGCATTCGGATCAACAGCAACGCCTCAACCCTAAGCGTCGTAAAGCTAGGATTTGTCCGTAGCCCCATACCCTAAAACACCTCAAGACCTGGATGAACCCACAAATCCTCAACGTCGAGTGCGAACTTGCAACCTTCATCCTGAAATCCCAAAAGCGTTGCGGCCGTCACCCTGCTAACACCCAAAGCCCCAAACCACAAACCCTGAAACCCTTCCTACATGGGTGGTTGTCAAAGTTATGGCCCATTTTTTGGGTCCTTATTATTATACGGCACCTAATATTTAAGGTACCCAAACAGGGGCCATGATTTTCCCAACTACGGCTGATGATATAAATCCTGCCTGACCCACAATAGGGAATATACCATAATTCCCATAGTTTATAGGGTCCTTAAGGTAATGCAGGATTTATATCATCAACCCTAAACCCTCAAACCCTATAGATCCCTTAAAGGAAGCCCTTAGAGTTACCCCTTATAGATCCCTTTAAAGGAACCCTAGGGATTTATGTCATCAACCGTACCTACTGGTACATGTCATCAGGAACCAAGGGGCCGATGTAGGCCAAGCGGGGCTCCGCCGGATCCAGGATGAAATGCTCGGAGGGGAGCGGGTCGTCCCCCTGAGGGCCCTCGCCTGGGGGTTTAGGGTTTAGGGTTTAGGGGCTTAGGGTTGAGGGTTTAGGGGTTTAGGGTTTAGGGGCTTAGGGCCTGACCGAAAAAAAGGCTTAGGATGCAGGGTTTAAAGTTTTGGGGGCGGTGGGCTGGCGGCTCAAACGTTAGAGGATGTTAGGGGGTGAAAGGGTTTATAAGTTTCGGGGATCAGGGTGCAGTGGTTCCGGGTTTGCTCGTGAAACCCTAAATCCCTTGGCCCTAAACCTCAAACCGCAGCATAGGGGCCGGGGACAAGGAGGAAGTGAGAGCTTTCGGAGACTTGCTTTGCAGGGTTTCGGGTTGGAGCTGCTGAACTGTTTCATGAAAGCCCCGCAACCGCAAAACCTTTACTGCAAGGGTTTGGGGCTCCTGAACTCTACATTCGACTCTGCTGAGCATGAGCTCACTCACTCGTGCAAGGTCCAACCAAAATCTATCTTTATGCTTGGGTTTGAAGCCGGCCACGAAAGTAGCTCCGCCAAAAGGCGCGCTATCAATTCCGCTATGAGCGCGGCATCTGGACGCGCGAGTTTGCAGTCCGAGGTCGAAACACCGAATTCGACCCAACCCGCCAGGCCCTGATCAACATTCCATGACCCAATGAGGGTTTAGGGTTTAGGGTTTAGGGTCACCCAGCATTGTAATGAGCGTGGAAGTGTGAGCACTCAGCCTGCCTGCCCACTTCTTTAGTCGGATGACATCAATGTCGATTCATTTGAAGCGAAACAGGAGATTTGACTGCTCATGCTCGAGGATGTCGGCAAAGCATGGCATAGCCTAAACCCTGAACTTTAAAACTTCCTGAACCCATTACACGAAAAGCGCAAGCCCCAAACCGAAGCTCCTGCAGCCAGTAGGGGAACGTGCGGAATAGCACATACCCACTATCCAGGTCAATGCAGAATGTTAATTTTAGAGCAACCTATCTATGAATATAGATCCCTAAACCTTAAACCCTGAACCCAAGAACTGACCATTAGCCCCAAAGCCAAAGCGCGCCCATCGACCCGGGGCCGCGCCTCCTTCTGTTTTTTGCAGGAAGGGAAACCGCTGGCCTAGGGCGCGTTTTACAAGTATGTAACCCAGAGGGTCCACATAAATTACCATTATGGATCTCGTCCCCATAACCAAAATAGGGATGGTCTTTTGGGACATACTTCCATAATGGTAGTACATATGGACCCTCTGGGTAATATCGCTCTACAGGGTTTTGACGGGATTCAGATGCTTGTCGAGTTAAGAAAACTCCTCTGCAAGGCTTCGGGTTTAAAAGGTCCCGGGCTTTTTCAGAGCATGGGCAGTATGGTTTGCGGGCTATGCGGTTCGCCATTTCCGAGTGTTGCGGAGGGCGGCTTCTTGTGAAAGTCGGCTATCAGACTCAGGGATGAGTGGGAAACCATAATTACAACCCAGATGAGGAGACTTGTAACCGTACCTATAACTACCCCTCAACCTCCAAGTATTTCTCAAGCTGTGGGAAGGACACCCGCTCGCGGTTTCTGAACAAAGATCCACAACACAGGCTTTGTAAGATCCGCCGTCGGGTCGAAGGGCGTACTAACGAAGACGTATGAGGATCCTTGTAGGAACCACTCATCGGACAGTAAGGGAACCTTTATAGGAAACCCAAAACCCCTGCCAAGACGCGATAGCCGGTGGCAAGAACGACCAAGTCTGCCTGGAGCAGTGGAGCAAGCGCAAAGGGCAGCTGACTTGGCCTTTTACAGGGGCATTAACTCACTGGCCCAAAACCCACGGGAATAAAAGTTGAAACTTTTCAGAATCGACTACGTAAGAACCCCAAAAGTTGAAAAGTTGAGTTTGCAGCCAATAAGTTAACAATCAACCATGAACCATAAACCCTATCAGATCAAGGTCTACTTGGAGGTTCATGGGTAGTTATAGGTGGGGCTGTAAGTCCCCTAATATGGGTTATAATTATGCTTACCCTCCCAGTTGCACTTATTAGATACCATTCTCGGATGATAAAGGAATCACAGTGCCAATTGCTGTTGCTGAGTCCCCCTCTGAGATGTAGACCGTACACGTTCCCACGCAAGCCACCAAGTCCGCAAAACCCAAAACCTCCTCTCTCACCAACTCCTACAAACTCAAAAAGCCCTCATACGACCCCATGGAAACCTTTACCAGAAAGCCCTAAACAGGAAAGCACCCACACCCTCTGGACACACTTTGGGCCTCCACCCGGCGAGGACCCTGAGCAGTTTCAAAGTGCACGGACTCCGAGTCGAATCGTGCCACGGAGCCCTGCATGGATGAATTCAGGGCTACAGGTGCCTGTCTTGGTGGCTTTGCTAGATTCACTGGGATTTCAAGGAATATTGGACCCTTCTCAGGGTGGGGAACCCTTTGAATGCTGGGGCTTCGGTTGTCTATTTCGTTTTGACTTTGGTTTTATACCACGGCATAGAAGTGTCCACTGTCGCCTTGCCTATATATGTGTACATACATATACATACATATACATATATATATATATATATACATATATATATACACAGACATATATACATACATAAGCATATGTACATATTTTCATGTACACACATACACACCCTTAAGATTCCCTAGAACCCCCTAAATGGCTTAAGGGTCCACACTGGGGCCACTAGGGGCCCATACTTCTAGCCTTAAGCTCGTACGGCTGCGGCGGGCCAAGCTATGAGGTTCTGCGATTCGGCAACGAAAGCTCGGAGTTTTGAACGCCTTTGTGGGTCTTCCCAGGCTCCATGCAAACTCAAGGCTTTGGGACTGGAGGATTACGCTACGGGTTCCTAGCAGCGGCAAGGTGGAACCTCCCCCGAAAGCTATCGGTGCCAGGGCAGCGCTGGGTAGACAAGGCACGATCGGAACAAGAACCATCTTCGGATTTCTTGTAGATTTACGGTTTCAATATCCCTTTCTTGGTAATTACTGGGACAACGAGAAGTGGGGTGTTTGTCACTACAGCTACCGTTCTAGGCATATCCCAACGGCCAGTGTATATAGAGATGGAGAGGGATGCCAATATCCCACATTCATCCTCTAAACCCTATAAAACTCCGAAAATACGCGCCTTAAATACCAGCTAAAACCCTAAACCCTAAACCCTCAACCCTAAACCCTAAAGCGGCGAAAACCTCGACCAGGTCGATGTCCAAGCCGATGTCGCTGTACTCTGTGTCGGTCCTTGGGTTCTGAAATTAGGTTCCTCTAATGGGTACCTTAGGGTTCCTTTAAAGGGTTACTATAAGGGTACTCTGGGGGTTCCATTAAGGGGTGCAGGTTTAGGGTTTAGAGTTTCCGAAAATTAGGGGTACCTTGAAAGTGATCCTTTACGGGGTTCCTAAAAGGGATCTATAGGTTCCTTAAAGGGATCTATAAGGGTTCTATACAAAGGTTTGGGGGTTTCCGAAACTTAGGGGTACCTTATTTTGGTATGAGGGTCCCCTATTTTCGGACAATCCCCAAAAGCTTGTTTGCGGGTTTTTTTAAACAAGGAGAGCCTTCTAGGTTTTACTTGAATGGCCAATGGTACTGAGTAAGTAAGGTTAGAAAAATAAGGTAGCTGGAACTGTGATGTTTTAAAGCCAGAAAAACACTATCATAAATCCTCAACCTTACGCTTCCGTAAAATTTGGGATGCGTTCTACCTGGGAAGATGTGAGGAGAAGAATCAGCAATGATTCAAGCCTCGATATCACTTTGAAAAAACTTAACTAGCAGGTTCTTGATCCTTCAAGTGGAGCTTAAGCGGTTCAAGGTGCTCTGAATTCTCAGGACCCCTCTTAAAAGAAAGCAAGAAACTTTGAGTCGAAAAATCAAAAACCTTAAGCCCTAAGACCAAAGCCTGAAACTCTACATTCTCTACATCCCAGCAGGCCGTATAAACCCACAAAGCCCTGTATAAACATCCTCTCAACCACCATGGAACATGATAAAGCCATAATAAAACCCTTACACAAAGCCCCCCTTAACCCTAAACCCCCCAAAACCCCGCTGGCCACGGCTCCAGGAGTAAATCCACCGGCGAAGCCAGTGAGCCTCCTTCTTCGCCTTCCGGCTGAGCAGCGGCATGCACTTCCTGAGCCGGACAGAGCTTTTCCTTGTTTTTTGTAAGGTGCAGTGGCTTTAAGGTTTAGGGGGTTTTAGGGTTTAGGGGGGCTTGCAGGGCTTACAGCGCTTATGGGCTTTGGGTTGCAGATGTTGCTAGAGTCTACGGGCCCCTGCTTCCGACAATTCCTTTAAAACCCTTGCAGGAACCTTGCAAACATTGGCTAGGATACTCAGTAACCTAAGAATAAAAAGGCCTCTCTTTTTGGTATTGGGTAACTTTATAAGGAACCTAGGACTACAAAAGGGGAATAAGGGTGCTACTGGGCATCCTAGTTGGTTTAAAGGGCTTTCAACTCTAAACTTTCGACCCTAGGGTTCCGAGCCAAGATGTTGGGTTCGGAGTTTAGGGTTTAGGGTTTAGGGTTTAGGGGTTTAGGGGTTTAGGGGTTTAGGGTTTAGGGTTTAGGGTAGGGTTTGGGGTTTCGGGTTTAGGGAAAGCTGAAACCTAAACATGGGCATGGACTGCGAGGATCCTTTTACTAATGATGCCGACACCTATATGGGAGTTTTCGAAAATAGAGGACCCCAATATAGTACCCTAAATACTTGGATCCTTATTATAAGGACCCCAAAATAAGGTACCCCTATTTTCGGAAACCCCCATATGGGAGTTTCCGAAAATAGAGGACCCTAATATAGCACCCTAAATAGCAGGATCTTGTTTGGCCACAGGGTGGCTCCTTGCTTCCTCAGAGGTGCAGCTGGCCCCTCAGAAGATGCTTTGCCTAAGCCACCTTGCGTAGGCCCCCGATCCTCTTTGTGCTGGAGGCTTACCGGCATAGAGTTCAACTGGTAAAGAATGTTTTGAGAGTTCTTCGAGGGCTTCACAAGGGAGGTATGGGGGCTTTGAGGCTTGTGGTTGTTTGGGTCTAGAGTCTAGGGCAACATGTTTCGGGCCCACATGGAACTGGAAAGCAATTGTGTCAGATGCCTCCAGACACTCACTCAGGATGTTGTTGGTTCCGTTTATAGCGAACCCCAGAAAGTTAGAACATGAATTTAGAATGATTCGTGCTGGAATTCCCTATAGTTTAGCTTACAGGAGACCCCTAAACCCTAGATCCTATAGATCCCTTATAACAAGCCCTTTAAACGAACCCTTATAGAAGTATTAGTGCTTCAGTCTCTGCGGGTGAAGGAGCTCACGTTCACCGAGTCGCGCTGACTTGTTGACGATGTGCTTTCGGCCCTCGTCCCAGGTCATGTTGTACCTCAGATGTGGGAGTTTCCGAAAATTAGGGGCGCCTTTAAAGGATCCTTTAGGGGGTCCTTAAAGGGATCTATAAGGGTTCTATAAAGAGTTTAGGGTTTGGGGGGTTTCCGAAAAATTAGGAGTACCGTATGTTGGGGTCCTTGTAATAAGGATCCTACTATGTAGGGTGCCTTATTAGGGTCCCCTAATTTTCGGAAACTCCCATGCGGCATAATGAAGACATCGGAGTAACTAGAACATGGACCCGGCGCACATAAATAGAAACTGAAAGGGGTATTAGTACTAATTAGCGTTCAGATAGCTATATTACTTGCCACAGCTTCGGACCTATGTAACGCAAGGCATGCGCATGCCAAGCCGACAAACCCCTCAAACTTGAAGCCCTCAAGGCCTAAACACTCAAACCCCAGCTAAACCCTAAACCCTAAGAGCCCGGAGCATTCAAAGCTCTCAAAACTGCACGGAAGTTACATGGGAGTTTCCGAAAATGGTGGACCCTAATATAGTACCCCAAATAGTAGGACCCTTATTATAAGGACCCCAAAAGAAGGTACCCCCAATTTTCGGAAACTCCCACATCAAGCCTGAACCAAGGGATCGGTTCAGCGAAAGGTTGGGGGCCTTGTGGTTTAGGGCTCAGGGTTTAGGGTTTAGGGTTGAGAGTTTAGGGTTTAGGGCTTAGGGTTTAGAGTTTAGGGTTTAGGGTTTAGGGTTTAGAGTTTAGGGTTTAGAGTTTAGGGTTTAGGGTTTAGGGTTTAGAGTTTAGGGTTTAGGGTTTAGAGTTTAGGGGTTAGGGTTTAGGGGGCTACAGCTTCCCTCGATTAAGGCGGTTGAAGGTCTAATAACATTCAGGTAAAATGTAGGGTTCGTGTGAGTTCCTTTTCAAGGGTCTCCGACGGCAACTGTAAAGGCTTGGTATAGGGGCCTTAATATTTCGAACAGGGTTTTGGGGAATATTATGGTTCATGATAGTATAAGTATTACAAGGAAACCTAAGGAATAGTATTTGGTAGTTGTTCAAGCTTCGCGTTCAGCGTTGGTGTAGGTCCTGAACCCTGAGCACAGAACCTTACGTGCTAACTACTCGAATCCTAAGCCCTTGGACCACAAGCCCAAGTTTGTAGCTCGTTTCGTGTCACCCAGTTCTTGCCCACATCGACATACATCCCCAGCCGCTGTGCCCAATCCTACATAGGTAATATATGGGAGTTTCCGAAAATAGGGGACCCTACTATAGTACCCGAAATAGTAGGATCCTTATCATAATTTCCCCAAATAAGGTACCCCTAGTTTCGGAAACTCCCATATAGGGTGTGGGAGCATGGACACAGATGAACAAGAAGCCTGATACACCGATTCTTCAAGCACCATCAGGGCATACGAGGGCTGAGGATTCAGGAGCTGTTGTGTTTCGTGTTGCGGGTTTTGGAAGGTCAAGTTCAGGGTTGACGGGTTTAAAAGGGATCTATAGGGTTCCTTATAAAGGGATCTATAGGGTTTAGGGTTTAGGGTCTAATTGGAGGATCATGGGACTTAGTAAGTAAGGTTATAAGTACCCTAATTGGGATTATAAGTATAGTTACCCTAATTATAACCCTAGTTACTAAGTCCCATGATCCTTTAAGTAATGAAACCCCAAATCCCAAACCACCCCGGTGGTCACCAAAAGGCGGCAAGGCACCGTTTGCCCACCCACTGGTTGAAGCCGTAGGAGCTACCTGCTTCAGGCTTAATGCAAGGACCTTCATAAGTAGAACAGGGTTTTGGAGCCCATTTATACTTATAATAAGGACACCCCCAAATCAATACAGGTAATTATTTCGGCCCCTTTGCTAAACCCTTCTAGCAGCCCTTATAACCGCCTTTAAAAGGAACCCTTTAAAGGGAACCCTGCTCTAATTACTTCGGCCTCTATATTACTGGGTTGGCCTTTGAACACCCTGAAAACTATTTATATATAGGGTCCCTTATAAACCGAAATAAGGAAAATAAAAAATGTCCCAAAACCCTAAACCCTAAACCCTAAACCGGCCTCTAGATTACGGCTTAGGGTTTGGGGTTCAGCGCGGTTTGCGGTTCGCGGAGGATGTCAGCAGGTTGGGAGCCTGCGAGGGTTTTCTGGGGGGGGCATGACCTAGTGTTTAGTAAGCTTCCTTAAAGGGCTCCTTAAAGGGATCTATAGGGTTCCTTATAAAGGGATCTATAGGGTTTAGGGTTTAGGGTCTACTTGGAGGATCATGGGACTTAGTAAGTAAGGTTATAAGTACCTTAATTTGGGTTATAAGTATAGTCACCCTAATTATAACCATAGTTACTAAGTCCCATGATCCTTTAAGTAGTGTTTTTTCTTGGCTGACTTCTGAACCCCTCCTAAGAGTTAAACTGTTAGCCGCCTTATTATGGTTCATATAGAAAACACAACATTGAAGTTCTAAGAGCCAACCAGAAGAATGCCGAGTTTTTTGGTGCGAGTCATATCCTATCGTTTACGGGTGACGACCCGTGGTTTTGTCAGGTCGTGGGGTCATGTGGGGGCCTTAAATGCTTAGAATAAGGTTTGATAGTGTCAGTATACAACCCTAAGAACGACATGGGAAACTATATAGGTAAGGCCCCTATATTGCCACGGAGCTCTGTGCAGATTTTGGGCATTCTGGGTTGCTCGGGGGCTTCCGGCTTGTGCAAGCGGCCTCAGTAGCAAAACCGCGGCGGCGCAACAGCCAAGCCCCGGACCAACAACCTGCGCACCGAAACTCTGAATCCTTTAACCTAAATCCTAAAACCCCAGACCGCGCAGAGCATACTCGCAGAGCAGTACCAAACTCTACCTAACCCTAAAGCCCGAGACGCGAAATCCCGAAAAAAAAACCCAAAGGACTCTCGAGTGCGTTGCATGAGGGGCCTGTCGTCAGCAAAAAGCCCATGCGCGTAAACTTCGTGGTGACCTTAAGGGTGTCGTATGCATATGTAGATGCGACGTTATACGAATGCATAGGTCCTAGGTATGTGCATACGGAGCAACGTACGTTCATACCTACATCCATCCGCACAGTACAGCCGTCCATACATACATGCACACAAACATCAAACATACATACAGACATACATACAAACATACATACATACAGACGTACGTTCAATCAACCATCCATTCATTCATCCATTCATCCATTCATCCATTCATCCATTCATCCATTCATCCATTCATCCATTCATCCATTCATCCATTCATTCATTGTTCATTCATACATTCATTCATTTTTCATTCATACATTCAAAAACATCGTACATACACACATGCATACATTCATGAACGCATACATACATACATACCGACCTTCATACATTCATGGGTTCATGCCTTCATACATACACACATACAAACATACAAACATACAAATGTACAAACATACATACATACACATGTACACAGATACAGAGATACACAGATACGCAGATACGCAAGTACATGCCTTCATACATACACACATACATACATACGTACGTACATAGGTATCTAGATACATACGTCCACACGTACATGCCTACTTACCTGCATGCGCACATGCCGACATGCATACACATGAATGTATGTCACGAAGCAAGACCTGCTACAATGAAATTGCAGGGGTACCGTAAAGGTGCATGAACTTAAAGATGCTCTACCTTGGGTCTGTCTTAGGGTCCCTCATTGTGTCTGAAACTCCTGAGATTCCAGGAGTTTAGCCGCCCATCCTCAAAGACGGCAAGACCCTGAACACCAATGGTCCAAACGAACCCGAAGATACCTTGAGAATAGGGCTGTTATTGAGGGTTCCTTTTGAAGGGTGCTTTCAGGGTTGCCATCACAAATGGGGGTTGATACAGGGACCTTGCGCATGCGCCTAGAGTTCGTTTATGTTTGTCTATAAGGGCTTTAGTAAACGTGCCTTCGTCATCAGAGTAGAGTTTGGAACTCCACAATTACTGGGTTTAGAGGTTGGGAGCTTAAGGTTTGGAACGAGGGTTGGTCCTGTCGGTGAGTTTTCTATGATAGGGTTACTACGGGTTCCTTTAAAGGTTTGCATAAGGGTTTCTGTCAGGGCTGCGCGCTAAGAGGGTAGTTGGAGGTTCATGGGTAGTTATCAATGGGGTTACAAGTCCCCCCCAAAATGGGCTTTAACTATGCTTACCTTATTTGGTTCCTTAATATAATACGGCACCTATTATTTAAGGTACCCAAAAAGGGACACTAATTTTTTCAACAACGCAATAAATGGCCCTGTTTCCCACCAGCCGAGTCCCGAGCCCACCAGTGCATGCCCACGCGCTGAGCCCAACTGCTCTCCCAAGCCTCAAAGAAGGGAAAGCGTAAAGAGGGCGTAGAAGGGTGTCTTGAAGCGTTTTTGCGGGTTTACAAGGGGTCAACAGCATTCTACAACTTTTTGTTTTATCAGGGTTTATAGGGCTCTTGGGCCTTCGGATATGGAAGTTTAAGCCTTAGTCAGGGACTCCCCGATCGCTTGATGAAGGCATCTTGATTTGAATACTACTCAAGGGATGTTACAGTCTGTGGCTGGCATGGTCGTGAAAAGGGGTTAAAACTAAAGTTTTAGGGTCCTATGGCGGTTTATGGTTGAAGGAATCAGGTTTTAAGGTTTGGGGGAAAAGTATCCTTCCTCCTACAACACATGACCGCTTACCCCAAACCCTCAACCCAAAACCCAAAACCCACAACTCCTGTAAGCCCGAAACGAATTCTTTCAGAGCCCTGAAACAAAACTTCATTTGAACTCTTGTAACACCCTTGTCGGCCCGAATATAACCTGCATAGAACCCTTAAGCATGGGGTTTAGGCCTTAGGGTTTAGGATTCTGGCTTCACGATCTAAAGGTTTGGGGTATAAGAAAGAGCTGCAAGTGGAGGGGACCCATCCTACAAGTATGTATATGTTTATGAGGGAACTTGACGGAATAATCTGAATGTCTATCTGGTTCTTGGTACCAGGGCTTTCAGTTTACAACAGGAACCCAGAGCGAAACGATATGACTATTTCTATACCTGTGCGTTCAGTCCAGGGGGCGTGCGTCGCCCAGTTCATGATGACACAATCCAGCGGGGGATTGTTCTCCCCTTGGATGCCACGACTCGCAGAAAAGCAAGTCCTACTGGTATGGCAAAGATGATTTCAACCCTAAGCCCTAAACCCACAGCTGCTAAGCTCCTATCGCTGCACTTGCTTGATCTGTTCAGGGTTTAGAGCTTAGGTTTTAGGGACTTGGGGCAAAGAGTTCGCAAGCGCGTAGGCGCGCTGCACTGAGAGGGGCGTTTCCTCTCAGCAGCGGTGCTGATGCTGGAAAATCAAAACCTCTTACAGTAGAAGCCAGAAAGTTGGAATATCATTATCGTAACCCCTTTAAGGTAAATTATAGGGGATCCTACCATTAATCCATATTCCAACTTTCTGGAGTTCCCTTTAATTTGGTGCAAGGGTTTTGCACTCTTCGGGCGCTTTCCCGGACCCTCCTTTCCACTCCCTGCTCTGACCGCGCCTCTCGCTCCCCCTCCGCATTCCCAAACCTGTGCTGGCGCACGTAAGCGAAAGCCTCTAAAACTCAGGTTTTAAGTCGTAGGGCTCGTTGTGGCAGTATGCCAAGGGCAGGGGTTGCCGCTCGTGCAAGCTGCGAGACAAAAAGCAAATTTTGGGGGGCGTCAGCGTCAGCAACCGTAAACCGCAAACCCTAAATCCCTAAACCCTCTACCCCAAACCGATCCCACCATCACCGGTGTTCAAAGGCTGAAAACTTAGGACTCATACGTAGAAAGACTCTCGAAGCAAGGAGTGCATGGCTTCCGAATTAACACGTGCCTCATCTCATAATCACGGCTTAACTAAGAGACCATGCAAACGACCACGAATGCAAGGATCACACATCTTCTCAACTAGCTGCACCACACGACCAACAGGCTAGGCATCCGCGGAGCACTCATGACAACTCCGACTCCCCTTCGGCATGCCCCAAACCTGTAAACCTGAAACTGACCACAAACCCTAAAAAGCAAAGACCTACATGGGAGTTTCCGAAAATAGGGGACCCTAATATAGTACCCCCAAAATTCGGATCCTTATTGTAAGGACCCCAAATAAGGTACCCCTAATTTTCGGAAACTCCCACATGCTGAAATCCGAAACCCGAAACTGCAAAGCCGCCAGTCCCATGTTAGACTCCCCAACGCACCCTTTGAAGCCCCTTCGAGAAGCCCGCAAAACAAACTGCACATTCATAGTATCTGTCATGAAGCGTATTCTACACACATACATATATATATATATGTACACATATAATTTTGTGCGTGTATATATATATACATATATATATATATATACATGCATGTAGTCCCATAGACAGCCTTTCATCATCCTGGGTCTGTCTTCAAGCCGAGTCGCCGAAGCACGCTGGCACGGAAACAAAGCCGTGACCTGGGCTCTGTAGAGGTCTACTTTAAGGTTCATGATACTTACTAACCAGGGTTATAATCAGGGTAACTATACTGATAACCCCAATTAAGGTACTTAGAAGCTTACTTACTAAGTCCCATGATCCTCCTTTGTAGAACCCTTATGGATCCCTTTAAGGATCCCTTCAAGGAGCCCGATGATAGAACCCTATAGTATCCTTCAAGGAACTATACTAAGTCCAATGATCCTCCAAGTAGGGTTCAGAGGTCCAGGGCTTGGGGCCTAGGGTCTGTGTCTGTTCGCATGTGTGTTATTTTCAGGTATCGTTCTGCCGTCCATTGTGTTGCAAATGCTGTCGCAGTGCCATGACATGGGGGCTGTTGCACTTGGTAGTGTTCTGGGGTTGGAAATGTTGTTGCTGCTGTTGCTCCGAGGTAGTCCTGCTGCTCCTGCTGACTAGCGGAACCTCTGTTCTTGTTGTGCCCGTCACCTTCTCTGCAGACGAGGCGCGTGTTGACATCGTCACGGCTGTAGCACCAGTCGTCGCCTCATGGTGGGCTGCTTCTCAAGCAGGGATCTATAACATAAGCTGGGGAACGGTTAGGCACAAGATATGTGCGTTTGAGTCATAAGATATGTGTGTCTGAAAGATCAAAAATTATAGAGCACATCATAGTCTGAGGCATTGATTGTTGCTGCGGACTTCCATGCTCCTAGTACAGGGTCCTAAACCCCAAACCCTGAACCCTATCGTGCATCCATAAGACATCGGAGAATGTAGCAGGGCCCAGACTAATCTCTGATCAAAGCAGACGCGCAGACCGCAGGTTTAGTGTTTGGGGGTCTAAACCCTTTGTCCGTAAAGGCCTTCTATCATAGGGACCCTCGGGGGGGGTAGGGGGAGGGGAGTTAGAGGGCCTCAATGCCCATCCAAACAAGGCCTATTTAAGGAAGTATAGTCCCCTACCCCCCTCCCCCTTACCCTCAAGGTTCCTATGATTCTGAACCAGGGGAGACTGGGCCTTGAGTTTAGGGGTTTAGGGTTTGGGAGTTTAGGGTTTAGGGTTTAGGGGTTTAGGGGTTTAGGGTTTAGGGTTTAAGGTTTAGAGTTCAGTGTATTCTGTCACCAGTCTGCTCGACAAGCTGACATGTGGGGCTCTCTACACGAATACATATATATATATATATATATATATATTCATGAAACGTGACATATACCAAAACCTGATGCAGCATAATATGATATACTGCACCCTACACCCTAAACCCTAAATATACTGTACTTCAAGCGGGATCCGCATGTCAGTGTGCCCTCGTGGGGCATGCATACGACAGGCGTAGAGTCCAGTTCAAGGTCAGAGGACTTAGCGCGGTAACAGTCACTACGACTCCAACTACCCTAAACCCTAAACACTAACTCGGCTAAATGTAGCATCTTGTAACCCTACTTGCAGAGTCCCGCGCTCCGTTAACTCCAAATTCGTACGCCAAAACCCCAAAGCACAGAAGCCCAAAACCCGAAAACCCGAAACCAATCCGGATAAAGCCAGACAAAGTAAGCATTCTGTTGAATCCTAAAAGCCTTTGTAAACACCCCCCCGAAAGGGGCTCTTGGGGTTGAGGTTAAGGGTTTAGGATTTTGGGGTGTGGGGTTGGTTTGGGCTTCATGGGCTTAGGATGCAGATACCCACAAGCCGGTTGCAGCCAGGCCACCGCCGCATAGCCAAGGTCGAAAGCCGTCTCTCCTTGCAGAAGCTTCCGGTTTGTAGGTTGACTTTGGGGCAAGGGTTCCTTTAAAGGGAACTCCAGAAAGTTGGAATATGGTTTCAGGGTAGGATACCTTATAATTTACCATAAACGGTTTAGGATAATCATATTCCAACTTTCTGGCTTTTACTTTAGTAACCTCAGGAGACGTCTCTTCAATCTAAGTTAAAGGCTCCACCAAGGCTTACGATTTGGGGTTGTGGGTTTAGGCATTTTAGGACTCGTTTAGGGTTTAGGGTTTAGGGTTTAGGGTTTAGAGTTTAGGGTTTAGGGTTTAGGCATTTTGTGTTCGGCCGGGGTTCGGGCTTAGGACTCATTCACTTGGGTTTTGCGGCATATGCTTTCGGGTTATTGTACACGAGGGGCTGCCGGTGGCTCTGATATCCAAATCTTGACAAGCATAATAACCTAAACCCTAAACCCTTACCCCCTAAACCTCTATCATGCTAGTCATGACCCGATCGGCATCCGCCTCATCATCTTGGCCACCATCACGGTGGACAGAGCCTCTGCCCGTGAAGCACTTGAAATAGCACTACCACATCCACCGAAGACCCGAGGTAAACCAGTGGTTTAGGGTTTTAGGGTTTAGAGTTTAGGGTTTAAGGTCTGACCCAAAATCCTGAACACAGAGCATCAACTTTGTAGGAAACATCCTACAATCAGCCAAGTACCAGAAAGGAACATCCTCAAAGCCCGGCCCAGGAAGCAAAACAGCACATACCCTAAGCCCAAAACTCCCAAACCCTTAAACCCTGAACCCCGGAACCCAAACCCCCACAACCAAGCCGTAAAAACCTTGAAAGCCCAAACCCTCGTATCCTGTGCCGATGATCAACACCTTCCGGCCCCGGAAGATTTCCGGCTCCTTGAACTTTGCCGGGATGTTGGGTTTAGGGTTAGGGGTTTAGGGTAGCACTTCAAGTTTATGTTTTGTGCTCAGGTATATTTTTGGCTTTTTGTTTTTGGTTTAGGGACAATCTGAGGGCTTAGCGGTTCAACGATTTAGGTGTATAGAGGCGACGGATTATGGTATAGGGGTGCGGTTGTTGAGAAGTTGAGGGTTCAAAGGTTTGGCAGGGGTAGGTTTTGGGGTTCAGGTTAGAGGTCAATGGCGAAGATTGGAGTTTAGGGGCTTAGGGAGGAAGTGGTGGTGCTGCTGCTGCAGTTGCTGCTGTTTCTGCTGCTCTTGCTGGTGCTGCTGCCGCGGCCGCTGCCGCTGCTGCTGCTGGTGCTTGGTTGCAAGCTCTAGCACGGTCTGGGGTTTTGCGGGTTATTTGCAGCCGGGGTGCCTTGTACTCCGAGCCTCACGCGCACACATCACGAACGTTTCAAGTCGGCCAGCTACCAGTATCACCTACTTGCGAAAAATCCCAGTAAGCCTCCTGACAGCAGCAGTACGGCTCAAGCCTCTATGCAATGTAGAATACAATGGAACTGCCACATGCGAGTTTGTTGGTTCTGTCGGAGACGATGTGACTAAAAGTAGCGGCCCCTAACACACATCCTTGGCTACAGTCTCGACTTTCCTCTGGGAAGCAGCGGGCAGTTGCCGCAGATAATGTAGGGGTCAAGAATTAGAATAGGGTTTCGGCTATTATATCATACAATGGCTATAATAAGCAAACCTAAGGAATAATCTTGGTAAGTATTTAGGCCCCTTTAGTAGGACTGGAATTTACTGAGATCGATCGGAATGAATGGCCAAGCAGCTGTGCAGCATCTCTCCCCGAAACTGCTCTTGGCCTGACATCAAAGTATGCAGCTCGGGTCGGAACAAACGCTTGTGAAAAATGCTTTCCAGGGTTTAACCTAGCATTAAAAGTTTGGGTTTAGAGTTCAGGGCTCTAAACCATGATGGAATCAAAATCAAAAAGGCCTAAACAGCGTGCCGAAGGTCTGATAAGACGAACCTGACATCCGACTGGTCATCCCACGTCAGCCTCTACCCTCAGCACCGGCTCTTACTCCAATCTTTCATAAGCCCTCTGTGCCAAACTCCTTCGTTTACCCCCTGTAAACCAGTGCACAGGTGTAACGGAAAAGGACGAGAGCTGTTTGCAAGCGTCGACCCTGAGTCAGCCCTGCTTGAAAGTTCACAGGTAGTTATAAGTGGGGCTATAAGTAGGCTAACCATACTTACAACCCATGTTAGGGGACTCATCACCCCACTTAAAACTAACCATGAACCTCCACATATACTGGGCCTTCATGTCTAGAATTTAGCGCGGGGGTTTTGACCCGCAAACTCAACCCAGCCTCCTGCAAAAAATCTTCAAAGCCGCTAAACACCACTGAAAAGGACCCTGCTAAAACCCTATACAGCCTCATGAAGCTCCTTCTCTAACCATAGACCCGAACAGACCCCTAGCCCGAGACCCTAAACCAGTCCTAGAGGCCCGAACCTGGAAACTAAACCATACACGAAGCTATCATGCTCCCATTTGAAGCCTTATAGATCCTAACCCCTACAAAACCCTATAGTTGCCCCCCACCTCCAGCAAAACGTACTGCATCCTAAACCGTAGACCTCACAACCTAACCCTGAACCTCTAAACCCTAAACCGCCTTGAGGAATTCAATTCACCCCTAAACCCCCCTGCACCAAATCCTAAAACCCTAAAGATCCCTTAAATGAACCCTTATAGTACCCTTGAAAGGGGCCCTACAACCTTATCTGTATTCCCCTCTAGTACCCTTGTTAAAGGACTCCTTATAATCCCCTTTAAAGGGTCCCAGTAGAGCTATACACCCCCCACCCCCTCCCGCCTGGAAAGTCCGGCACTGTTGGAACGTTATGCAGACCGGAGCACACGGCCACGGCATCCCAGGCCTCGACTTCGGGGGGGTTTTGGCCCTGGGTTCGTAAGGGGCCTGAACAATTCCCTATATTATTGCAGGGGCTCGAACACTGCACGAGCGCAGATTGCGAAGCCCCCAGAACTCCTTTCATGGCCCTGCGGGGAATGGAGTTCGCCAAGAGCCCCCCGTGATTGCCAGCATCATGGTCTGTGCCACGCTCTCGGTCGCGGCAGGCTCGGAGTTGGGAATCAAGACGGTCTCCTACAGCGCCCTCGTATGCGGCAGCGCGGTGATGTTGTTTGCGTCCGCCTTAGATGGGCCCTGGTACATCCACCACGTGATCGGCCTGCACTTCATCGCGTTTGCCTTCGACACCGAAACATTCGCGCAAATGGCTCTGCGAGAGTGGCGGTCGAATGACGGCCAGGGCGCCAATCCTTCGTGGATGAACTGGCGGCCCCTCTTTTGCTGGAACTGGTGGATTGCTTGCGACTGGTGGATGTGCTGGCCCTCTTTCGTCGGCAATTTCATGGCACGCATCTTGCGCGGATGCACCATCAAACCGGTGGTCATGTGCGCCCTGCCGTTCCAGTATGCTTTGCTGTGGTTCTGCATCTTCGGTGCAGGCAGCATCGGCATGAACCGCCACGCCATCTGGTTGGATAAACACGCGCACACGAGCCCACACATCGAGGCAGCGAATTCTGGGTTGAGTGTGCCGGCAGGCACGGCCATCAATATTGGCCAACGGACTGCAGGATCTGGCAGCACCACTGGATCGACGTCTTACTTGCACAAGGAGGACGGCAATGACAAGTTTCGGGTTTGTTCCAATGCAGAGGTCCCAAGGTACGCAGCTGCATACATCTATGACCCGCCATATGCCATTGGTTCCGTGGTGGGCGCAAGGAACACAGGGTGTGAACTTTGGAACATTCCCCAGCTGCCAAACGTGGAGAGTGATGCTTGTGACACGGATTCTGATTGCATGTTGCAGCAGGATGATGGGGATAGTTTTGTTACAATCAAAGGTTGAACTGCATCAACTTGTGGTGCCAGTCAACCTTTTTGAGCTTGACCATCCCAATGGGGACCGTGCATGGATTTTGGCCTCATGTTACATGTAGCCGATCCCAAGTTATTTGTTTGCAAATGCCCACACTTGACCTTGAGTGGAGGCATGCTCATGCGGATCATTATAGCCGCTTTGTTTTGTGGATGTCTTTAGACTATCCATATGTGCCCATGTGTTGTGGAAGCAATATTGCCACAAACACTGGCGTTGTAAATGGCCTGCATTGGTGCTTAGTGTTGCTGTTTTGGATAGTTGATTCTGTTTGCGCTTTGCCCAACTTGCGCATACGCTGTCACTGCGCCTGTCATAGGGTAAAGTTTGAGGGCCCCGCGATCGAAGATTGCCTCCCGGGGGCCCGTTTTGGAGGAACGACTTCGCTTGCTGGTTATGCGGCCTGGTGAAGCGCTTTTCTGTTTGGCCTGGCACTGCCGGGATGACAGGCGCTGAGGGGCCCACCGCCTCGTTCTGGTGGGTGTTTCACTTCGAATTCATGTGTGCTAGGCGAGCACCTGTACCAGGCTCAACCGCTGCGAATGAAATATATTATTGCGGTGGTTCCTCATTATAGTGATTCAGGCCCCTACAGTACACTTTTGGGTTTTGAGCTGAATCATTTTGGATGATTTTGGGCTTTGGGTTTGAAGTTTGGGTATCCGGGTTTCGGGTTTTGGAGGGTTTTACAGGAGCCGCAAGAGGGTCTGTGAGTATCTATAACGAGTTTAGTGCTTTAAGGCATAAGCCTCAAAGGCTTAGCCTAAAAGGCTTTATAGAGTGTGTAAGTGTAGCTGTTCAGGCTTAACCCCAAAGCCAAAAGCCGTGGCCACACCCTTATAGAACCCTCCAGAACCGAATGCATCCCGAAACAATAACCGAACCTTTAATTAGCATTAGTTAGACCTCTATACTATACTACCACTCCGGCCACCTCCGTTCTCGGGTGCGAGTCGTCTCCGTCTTCCTGAATCGTCCTTGGCAGGTTCCACTGCTTACAGTTGCATGGATCCTCACTCATTGCAATCCAAACACACGTGTATGTTTGTATGTGTATATATATATAGATTATATATACTAATGTAGAACCTAATATATATATATATATATATATATATATTTATTTATTTAATATAAATATGTATGTATATATATATATGTGACTGTATGTGCGTACATATGCTAAACCCAAGCAGGACCTTCTTCCCAAGAACGAGTTGGGAGCCTCGGCTTTAGCTCATGAGCCGAGCTTCACCGTGTAGGCGGCCTCCGTTCCGGTCTTCTTCGTTTTGACCACATCGAGCACCTCTGGTGGTCCCTAAACCCTAAACCCTGAACCCTAAACCCTAAACCCTGAACCCTAAACCCCAAACCGGTCTGAGGAGGCCGGTGCTCTTTCTTGTTTAAGAGGTTTTGGGGGGCTGTACTTGGAGGTTCATGGGTCGTTATAAGTGGGGTTCTACGTAGGGTAAACATAAGTATATCCCATTGGGAGACTTATAACCCCACGTATAACTACCCATGCACCTCCAAGTAGGGGCCTCCCGTTTGAGGTCTAGGGCAGGGGATGTAAGGCTTAGTTCAGTTCTTGCACGCTGCGGTGTGACGCAGCGGAGCCTATTCTTTCTGCCCAGGCTTCACCGCATTCGGGCTGGTAGCACGCAAGGTCCCCGGGACCGGGATCCACGCACACCGGCCATTCACTTACACCGTGTTTCGAACATCTAGGATGCTTTGACGAAGGACATGAAGCTGCTTGTGATGAGATCCTTGAGACAAAGCTAAACCCGCAAAGTGTACCCGGAATCCTCAACATCTGAAGCTGCGCTACATAGAGCTAAGGTAGACCCCCAAATAGTCGAAGCTCTTGAGGTTCAGGGCTTCGGAGCTTCATCAAAAGGGCGTGGCAGCAGGGTCGGAAAGCGGATGAACAATCCCAGGAGTGATGTGCCAAACGGGCCAATATTGTTTTCTTGTTGGTGACTTAGAAAAACAGAAATCAGAAAGGGCCGCTCTCCATGGGGGCCCTTATTCAAGACCCTCCTTACACCTGAAAAAGCCTTGAAGATCCTTGAAGATTCTCCCAAACCCGCAAACACCCCGGACCTGAACTGACACGCTCCCCAAAACAAACAACACGGCCTTCACGTTGAAGCGGATACGTTCCAGGATGCCGAAATGAACGGCATACTCGCGCAAGTAAGCTACGTAGTCGGCCAGGCTCATGTGCCTGAAGCCATAATGGGCTTTAGCGTGTTTGAGTGATCAAGGGACTTCGTACTCAGGGTCACAGCAGGAACTATCGTCAAGTTACACTTACCGCCACCTACAGAATTCCCTAAACCCGAAACCCTAAACACGAGTTAAACCCTAAACCCTAACCCTCAACATGTCTGAGGTACCCTGCTCCTCCATAGAGCACTGAAAGGCTCCTGAACCCGCGAAATCCGCCAGAGAAAAGCCGAACGCTGAAACGACACCCTAACAGCCGGTGATTGGGAGGGTCTTGCAAGAGGTGAGGCGACAAGAGCAGCATAAAAGAAAGGGTTTTGGTGCAGATTACTATATAACTATAGGATACTATAGGGTGGAGGTTTCAGGGCCATGGTCTCAATACCCCGCAGCCCACCTGTCTGAATAAAACATACATTGCCTTCAATTATAACCCTGTGCAGAAGCCCATTTGTGGGAGGGCCAGGCGGCATCTCTGCATCCGGTGAGCGAAAGTCCGAAAAACAGGTGAGGTATTTGCCTCAGACGACAAGGGCCCCCCTAGGCGTGGGATATATATATATATATATATGTATGTATGTATGCGCACATAAGTGCATACGTACATGGGTACATACGTACTTTCTTTCTTTTCTTCGTAGCGTTCAGGGTCCAGAGGACGCACGCCTAGCAATGAATTCAGGGTTGAAGCAGTGTGCACTCGCCCGGAGTAAACCCGAGCGGAGCAGAAATCTGCAGAAGAGGAAGCATGCCAAGATGGAACCAGCATGTACAAAAGCTGTCTCGGCCATGCACATCTCTTCAAAAAGTCAAAACTAGAGCCATCAAGGGACAGCCGCTGCCGGCATTGATGGGGACATGCCATACACAATTTACAATTGCCTGGCACTCGGACTGAAAGCAAGAACGCTACCTAACGCACGCAACCGGGCTCGATTGAGGTTCTACTTGTCACCGTAGAACCTTTCACAACCGGCAACCGAAGAGAAACAGTACTATCTTGAGCATTCCTCCGGGGGCCGGGGGAGGCAAACTACAAGACAAAGCCTTTCAAAGCCCCACAAGGTGGTTTCATTCAAACCACGTCCCACTCGAAACATGCGTGCCATGTACAACGCATTCACACTTGAACCCCGAGCTTATTCCTCCAGGGAACAGGGGAGGCCAACTACAGGGTAGGTCCCTCACAATGGAAAATTAAACATCACTGTGCCCTCTCAGACGTGCCGCTGCATACAGTGACCGCGTATATACACACCAACACGTGTGAGGTCCGAGTCTAACGAAAGCGAAGCGCCCAACAAACCCGTCGACATGCCGCAGAACTCCAGGACCTGGTCTACCGGGCTGCGGGGCCAGATGTCAAGGCGCTCGCCTATCGTTTTGTCGTATAAGCAACGTTAGTGCCTTCAATCTTGAACTCATAGTGCCGCATGTCACGATCGTACTTACCATCCCCGGCGTTCGATTCCTTCCGGAAGTTGTCATCCGAAAGAGTACAGCCGCCCTCAAACTGCTTGCCAGCAAAGATCGGGTGCTGCTGGTCGGGCGGGATGCCTGCCTTATCTTGGGACTTAGCCTTGACTTTGTCGAACTTCTTGACAAAGATCTGCATGCCGCCTCGCAAGTGCGGCGCCAGGTGAAGGCGTGCCCTCCATGGGCACTGGGGCTAACGATAGTTCCGCGCTGCTGCGGCGATTCGAGCCCTGGTACATACGTACACACATACATACATCATATGTATATGCACAGCCCTGCTATACATCTATACATCGCAAGGATTACTTGCCTATGGGATCATGCGGAGGACGCAGAGTACCGGAAAAACTAGCGGAGAAAAAAATTAACCACCAGACTGCGACGAACTCTCAGCTTACCGCAGTACACATGTATACATGTGTGTATGCTGTATTTACAGATACATCTGTATATAGACCTACATTTACAGGTTTCTGTGCAAACAAAGGCAGGAAGCCATCAACGACATCTGCCTGGTTTGGTTACAGGTTGTTATCTTTTCGGCTATAGGGGTCTTAATAGTTGGAATAGGTTTTTTGGCTCCTTTAAAGTATAACCTAAACCCTAAGCCCTGAATCCTATAACTATAGTAAGGAACCCCACGAACAATATTAGGTAATTAAGCGGCCTAAAGTTCTCACTGTCTTGCAAGCTTCCCTCTGCGAGCCTGTCTTTGGGCCCAAAAGCCTTGATATATGAGTCCCTAGATCCCTAGGGCTTGCTGGTTGAACATACTAAGCCAAACTGAGAAGCCTTATCAAGAGCGGCCTATTTGGAGGGTTTTGTGTTCGAGGTCTGAGGTTAAGCTCAGTGTCCTTCCTGCACGGATGCGAGGTGCCGGGTGTCTGTTGATCGTTGCATCTATTCTCGCGTGTGGCACTGCTTGCGGCGGCCGTGCGCTTGAGACAGCTGAAGCCTTTGATTTACAAGGGGTCCCTTCTGAGTGGCCCTTATCATATGGGCCCTAATGCTACGATATCGAAAATCACAAGCAAGCGGCTGGACACCATTCGGCCATCCTGTTTTGGGCTTTTAGGGTTCAGGGTTTGAGGTTTAGGGCCTGGGGTATAGGGCCTAGGGTTTAGGCTGTAGGGTTTGGGATTTAAGGGTTGAGGGGTTTAGCGTGTGGGGGCGTGCTCAGGGTACGGGACTTTGAGCCCGAGGGCCCGCAAGCAATCCGCAAGACAGCTGTCTGTAGAGAAGCCTCCTCCGCCTCCACGAAAGAGAATCAATCTGTGTAATATCGGCGCCTTAATGTTTAGCATAGGGGTTTGGTGACCCATTATACTATAGTTAAAATAAGGAGCCCACCCAAATAACTGAAGAGCCTCGAGCCTCAACCCCGCGCTGTTAGAGCCCTTAATTGACTGATGCGCCCCAGCCGTCAACGAGTGTTGAGTCTGTCTTCGTTCGCAACAAAATGTCCGTCATCACTTCTGAACTAAGGGGCTGCGCTGAGGGAAGAGAGCTTTTGAAGTTTCTATTCACTACGATTCTTCGCACATCGACTGAGGCTTTGCCAGGTTTGTGGGCATGGCCATATGACGGTGGAGTCGTAATATTGCTCTACCATATTCTGGCTGCAGTGGGCAACAATGTAGCAACACCCGAGCCAGCAAAAGAAACATTCTGAACAGACCGGACGTCGTCTGCCAAGAAGACCAGCCAAGTTTTGACGCAGTGCTGTTCCATCCGGCCGTGGTGCCACGCTCGGCTGAGCATCCTCCACCAGGGTCGCACCTTCTGCTTCATAAGCGGCCCGCAGCCCGTCGGCAGACGTGGGCGAACTTCTGCAGCGAGACTGAGTGTGACTGGTTGGTACTTCAATAATTCATCACAGGGTTCGGCGCTCCAACATAGCCCACTGTATCGCGGAATCAAGTCTGCGAAGAGGATGAGGCATGGTCGTCGGACGCCCAAGTATTGGGAGCTTGGCGCCGGCCGCCAGACTGCCAGTACCCCAAGAAAACCTTACAACAGTCAGGATTTGGGCTGATTTAGCGCAGGGTGGCTTACGAATCGCATTCTGAAAGCTCCTACTTGACAGTCTTGAAGACACTTGGAAGGATTACTGCTTGAAAGATACAGAGAAGATGTGCAGAAACTCTGCGAATGCTCTTGACTTTGCACCCTAAAAAGCTTACACACTTCTCATCGCCTTTTGAACCCTGTAAAACCCTTAGAGAACCCACTAAAGAAGACTGAAGAAGCATGCTGAACCCCGAACACCTTCTTGGGGAAGCCTTATGCAACCCTAAATCCAAGCATCAGTAGGGGCTCATACTTGGAGGATCATGGGACTTAGTAAGTAAGGTTATAAGTACCTGAATTGGGGTTATAAGTATAGATACCCTAATTATAACCCTAGTTACTAGGTCCCATGATCCTTTAAGTAATGCTTTAAAGTACTGTAGTTGAGGGTCTAGGTGTCCTTTTAGGGATTCCGGACTGAAGCCGAAGTCGTGTCCAATTTTGACGAGATTTGCAGTTAAGAACATTACAACATCCCGCAAAACCTTGTCTGGTTGCACAACCTAAATCCTCAAGCCTAAACTCTAAACCAACAAACCCCTCAAACCCCAAGCCTTTCTGAACTAGTCAGGCTGAAAAATGAGTGCGCAGTGTCCTTGTAGCGCTTGTTCTCGAAGGTGCCACCAATGGCGGAGCTCGCTTCCACAATGCTAACCTGCAAGTCTGGGTGTCTGGGAGATAGGCTACATGTTTTCCGGGTTTGCTTTAAGGATATGTCAAGCATGTCCTTTGTTCAAAGCCTATGGCTGACATGTTGAAACTTCGGGTGCAAAACATGGGCATATAGGATGTTGGCAAGGGCACCGAATACGTGGCGCTGGAAGGTGGTCAACAGCAAGTTGAGAGATACTGGTGAAAGAAGCGAACACTAAACTGGACCCTGAAGCCTAAACAGAGCGGCCTTCCCTGCATGAATGAAGCTGCGGTGGCTTTAGGCCTAATATTGGTGCGGGGCTGGCAGCTTCGACAAAATGCGCTTGCAGCAGCTTCGAGCGGCTTTCCACTGGCCGCCCAGCCTTGAAGCTGATGCCTATTGTTACCCTGCTACTGCTGCTGCTCCTGCTCCTACATCTACTCCTACAGCATCTACTACGACGACTACTACTACTACTACTACTACTAGTAGTACTACTCTACTTCTACTTCCTATATTTCTACTACTCCTCCTCCTGCTGCTGCAGCTGCCACCGCTACTTCCAATCGCAATATACTCCGAGGCGACGGATACTCGGCGATCCCCTAGTCCTACTTCTCACAGGGTTTCTGCAGACGACGACCACGACGAGTACCTGTGCCGTTCAAACACATGGCAAACAAAAAAAGCCGACAGTAAGTAAAGGACCATGCGACTTTGTAACCAGGGTAATAATGAGGGTAACTATACTCATAACCCCAATCATTAAGGTACTTATAACCTTACTTACCAAGTCCCATGATCCTCCAAGTAGTGACAACAACACTAGGAGCCGCTCTCATTGTACTCGGTTGCTTGTAGTCATGGACTTGATCCCCAAACCAGAAGTTCTTCAATCTGGGGGTAGCTCATCTACCTACGGGTTTTATGTCAAAGATCTTACTAAATAGGGTTTTACATGAGGGTCGCCTCTTTGGTGGACCTCCCTTGCACACAAGCATACTTGAAGGGTCATGGGTAGTCATAAGTGGGGCTATATCTAAGGTAACCATAATTAGAACCCATAAAACTACCCATGAACCTCCAAGTACGACTTTGAAGCTGTGACTTGTGCAGGGACCTCGTGGCCAGCTTGCTGTGCAGTCTTGGCAGTAACCAGTCCGGAGGCACCAGCACCTGTCGCAACCGCGGACTTGAGGGTTTGAAGCTGCTGTAAGGCCCTTAATGATCAGAACAGGCTTTTGGGGGTATAGTGTAGCCCTCCTAATTGTCTAGAGACCACGATGGGTTGCTGTTGCCAGTTTGCCGACCCACATCTGAGTTTCAGTGCGCTACAGCAAGCGATGTCGAAATGAATGTGTGTCTTGAGCTGTCGTCGTTTGATTGATGATTACACACTCGAGATGGCAACACCTTACGGTTGGAATTGCAAGGGATCTACAGTAAAACCTGCAGCCTACACCGTTGGAACCCGTAGCGGACCCAGGTTTTTAGAGTTCGGACTTGCAGCGGTCGAATGTTGAAGGTCGTGCCACAGGCATTCGGCTGCTTCGGCAGATCATCAATGAGGAGGCTTCTGGACTCAGCAACAGGGTAACACGAACAATGGTTTCAACGACAGTAATTGATGGCCACAGCGCCGAACTCAGAAGTTCTAAGGCAGCTAAACCTTAAACTTTGAAGCCGCATGACCTGCAACAATAGCAGCAAACAAAGATTCGGCTTTGGGATTTCAAGATACAGGGTCGTGGGCTTTGTCGGAATACTCTACGGTAGGTTCCCTAAGAGTCAGGCTCCTTTACGGTTTTCAACAAGGACTTTTGGGCCTTGGCGGGGGCTGGTGTAATGCATAGTGGCCTTTAGAATTATGCAATGGCTGTGGGATATGGCATAGCGTACTTATAGAGGGACTAGAAGCGGTTGCCGTTTCTAACTAGTCCGACTCCTACATTGCTTGACATTACACCTCTGTCAAACAAAAGCACTTCCCGACCACTTTCGGTCCCAAGGCCCCTTTAACCTGTCCCCTGAACTGCCCAGAGCTTTTTCTAACAGCCGAAAACTCAAGGTTTAAGGTTTAGGGCTTAACTTAGGCTGATAGTTAAACTGTCCGGCGGAAGGGACATCTCAGGCCCGTGCCGATGATCAATATCCGCATGGTGCAGCAACACCGCAATTTCCGCGCACGGGCGGTGGGCTTGTGTTCTTGCTGCTAGTGCTTGTGATCTTTGCAAACCTTGCCGTCTGGTCACCCTAAGCCTTGTGTGCATCAAAGTTGCATCGACTCGGCTAAACAGATTTCGACAGTTCCGTCCAGTGCTTGTGTCGGCTTAGGACTAGGACATAGGGTCTAAGTCTAGGCTCACTCATCCCAGCCGGGTCTCTTTTTATTCTTTTTTAAGTTGAGCTCAGTGAGCTGAAACTGCAAGTCTGACCGAGCATGGCCTGTGCTTGAGCCAAGCCTCCCGCAATGCAAAAGCAGCACAGCAGAGGCTCCCAAAGACAAATCCTCACACTCTGCATACTTGTTTGTAAAGACTGTCAAATGTCCAAAACTGAAACTTTAAATGCATAAACCCCCGTTGGTCCCTAAACCCCAAGCGGAGAAAAACAACCCACCCAACCCTGTAGAACCCTGAACCCTTAACCCCAAACCCTACAGAACCCTAGGAAGGCATCTGATCTGCACCTCGGCCGCCCGGTCGCCAGGTGCTTTGACCGCAAGTGCCTGCAGGCTCCCGGGTTTCTTGCGGCCGTCAACCTCTGGCCTAAAACACCTACTTACAGGATCATGGGACTTAGTCAGTAAGGTTATAAGTACCTTAATTGGGGTTCTAAGTATAGTTGCCCTAATTATAACCCTAGTTACTAACTCCCATGTAAGTACCTGCTTTAAGGAATTGTATATAGAAACTCTGACAAGGAATCCTAAAAAAGGTAGGTCTTAGAAGGGGCCCCCACCCTGTAATAGTGGTATAATAGGAATATAACAGGATCCTTATAGTCACTATTACAGGGTGGGGGCAGCTTCAAACGTAGGTGGTTTTTGGCTACAGGCAGGGTTTTAGCATGGCTCTATTGATGTAGGGGGCTTGAAGAATTAGAACAGCATGTTGCGGGGCTGAGCAAGGGTTGTGAAGGGTCCACTGCAGGGGCCTGAGCGACTAGAAGAATCGTCTTTTTATATCTTCACGGACTATAAGGGGGTTTTTCGATATCACGGACTATAAGAAGTTTTATCGACTTGAAATCTGCTTCAACAATCACAAAACTTCGTACGGAGGAACATGACGACCTGTCCATACTTCTCATTGCTTATAACAGAAGGGTACGAGTGAGGTACGTACTACTTCAAAGTCAAATCCCAACCGAGGAGTACCTATGACCCTTGCTGGGTCCAACGGGCCTTGAAGTAGACCCTGCTTGGTAAAAGCATCCCCTTATTGTCAGCTGTACCCTAAACCCTAAACCCCCTAAAACCCGAAACCCCAACATAGTAGTTCTATGAAGCACCCGAAAAGGCTTGGGACTGAGGGAGCTGCAAAGCGGCAGTAGAGAGGGTGCGGTAGCTACAGCCGCAGAAGATGTTGGGATTAGAGTTTCGAGGGATTTTAAAGTGCAAAAGCTTCAGGCTATTTCGGGCGTTCGGATGTTCTTTGGGGCGATATTATTCTGTTTGTTTTCCTTCTCCCGCTGCTTTTTGTTTGGAGATCTTGGTCCACCTCTTTGGAGATCTTGGTCCAGCGGCTGCTTCTTCACCACCGCGTTTGCTGGCAGCTCCGTCGGCGACGCCACGTCTTCTGTCTTGACCGTGCCCTCAAAGGGGCCCAAGGATGGCGTCGAATTGGGGCTGTAGGAAGTTGCAGTTGCCAGTGCTTTGGTGGGTTTTAGGAGTCTTGCGCTTTTTCAGGCCGTTTAGGTCTTTAAGGCTTTCGGGTGTTTGGGGTTCAGGCTTCGGGGTTTAGGGCGCTGCTTATGGCCCTGGGGCTCTAGGGTGATTGGGCTCAGAGTACTGGGAAACGGCTTGCATCCACTTACTTAAGGGATCGGGGGCTTAGCCATTAGGGACGTAAGTGCCTGAACGGCGACTACATAAATTCGCGAATGGTTACCTGAACTCTGAACAAAACAACCTAGAGGCCCTACATCCTAAACACTAAATCCACCCCAAAACCCAACCCCACTGCTTGGAGGAGCGAGGGCAGCGTCAGCGATGCAGCGGAGGATCATGCAGGACATGTCGCACTCAAAGACACTCCGCACTGGTGCCGTGAGCTGTTCCCCATGAAGGCGAGCTGCACTTGATCACAGCGGGGGAAGGCGTTCAGGGAAAGCCGACGTCGGCACCATCGAGCTGCCTGCAAGTCTCCCAAACCGCGAAGTAGGCAAAGAGAAATCTCTTCAGACATACGGCGGATGTGCACTACGACCTGAAGCCGCAGACCCCAAACACTATACCGCAAGACCTCCTTGCAAAGCAAACCTTGAAACCGGAATGTACCCCTGACCCCCCCTTCTTCACTTCGCAGCGTAGGGGTTCTAGTCCCGTGCTAAGACAAGACGGACCAAAAACTGGGAGACCCAGCAGTCCTGGAAAAACGGAGACTTACTGCTCCTGCATGCAACACACGAAACCAAGGTGAAACGGGACGAGCCGGCAAGAGGGAGGACCAAACCGCTAACCTGCCGACTCGGCAACAACTTACAGAAGCTGGTGAGGGAAGGCCAGACGGCGAGGAGAAGCGCCAGACAGGCGCCCAACCGCAAGAAGAGCCAAGGCATGGGCAGCGACCTCAGGCAGGCAGAACACTGTGCCAAAGCCAAGCACAGGAACCGCCGAGGTCCCAACCGCATCAGGCGACGCACGGCGCAGAAGCTTCCAAAAGGCAGCGGGGAGCGGTCGCGCACTCCAAAGTACGGCACCAAACCGCACCTGGCGGAGAAGGTGCAAGAAAGTAAGCATCCGCCGCAAGAAGAGAATGCGACCCGAAGCAAAATGCCCAAACCCAGCGGGGCCACACCCGTCTGGGCAAGGTGACGGACGCTCCTCTTTGCGTAAGAAGGCCGAGAGACGCCAGACCTCCGGCGACCATGGGTGCTGCGTGTCAAGCGCCAAGAACACCCGCCAACAAGTAGCCCAGCTGTCCGGCAAGCACCAAATCGCGGGTGGCACACCATCCCACCGGCAAGACAGGACCGAAGTCTCACAGTCGGGAGGAAACTCAACGAAGCGGTACACCACATGAGGAAGAGTTGACGAGGGCATGACCCGGGAATCAAGTCCAAGCGAGCTTCTGAGAGACCCAACGGGGGCAGATTCCGGACGAGGGAACAGCTCCGGCATGGCAGCAGACGCGGCAGACGCTGCAGGCGGCGCAAGCAGGGAAGGCGGAAGTCCAGCGTCAACAGACACGGGCGGAGAGACTGCAGGAGCACTGTCAGAGTTACGCCGGAAGGGTACCACGGGCGAGGAGCGGGCACCATCGGCAAAGCCCGGCCCGGGTGCAAGCAAACTCAGCTCTGCCGAGAGCTCGGCCTCCGTGCAGCATCTTTCCTCAGCCGCAGCAAGGCGTTGAGCTGCGGTTGCGTTCAAAGGCCCACAAATCCGAAAGACTGGTGCACGCGCGTGGCCTTGCTTGCCACGCCGTTTTGTGCCAGAGCCATACTCGTAGACAGGCCCTATACACAACAGCGGAGGCCATGTTCGCACTCAGGGGTGTGAAGCAGATGATAGCGGAGCCGAGCTGCATTGTGGAATTCCGTCAGACACCACAGGCAGACAGTACCGAGGGTATATTGAGTGCACAAGGCAACTCGGCCATGCAACCTGTGCATGTGCGCTGCGAGGGCGTGAGCCGACGCAAGTGTCGCCCCACATTCTGAACAAATCCGCGGGGAGGCAAGGCCGATGACCCGCTTCGGCGTGGGGCTCTCGTGACTCTTCCAGGCACGTTGAAGGGCAAGAAGCATAGTGCCTGAACGGCTAATTTTCCGGCAGGCCGTAAGGAGCTTCTTGAGGTGTCGCCGTATCCCCAGTAGAGTGGGCTCCCCTGGCTGGAGCGCAGGGAGACCGGAGGCAGGCCAGACACGACGCGCTGCCTCAGCAAGCAAGGAGGCCCATTCACCTCCGCGATCCCAGCTTGCTTGGAAAAGTTCGAAGGCCTCAGTTGACCGTCCGGAGACAATCCGGCATAACAGACGGACCCGGGCAATGATAACGGCGCATTCAACATCCAAAACACCCGTACATGCTCGCAGTTGGGCTGAGGCTACATGGCGACCAGCATCCCAAGCCCCAACGAGTTGTCGGAGGCACTTGTCTAGAAACCCATGAAGAGGGCCCCAGGCCCGCTCTGAACGAGCAAGAGTCGTGGCAAGCGAAGAATAAGCGGCGGGAAGGGTCCGCCCTTGCAGCCACACAAGCTTCAAGGGCCACGGAAGGTGAGGGGAGTGGACCAGCCCGGCTGCTTGGGTCCAGATAGCGTTGCCTCGAGCGGCTGCAGCCTCGATATCTCGACGACCGGTGTCGCGACAACGCTGCGCGACGCCGAGGTATTTGTATTCAGGTACAACCCTGATAGATCTGCCATCAGGAAGGTCGAGGCGAGGTTCAGGCGACAGAAGCTCTTTCCTGGCGGCATTGGCCCCAGCTCCCTGGAGGTGGACAAGGGCCTCCGTCTTTCCAGGGCCAAGATTAACCCGGAAACGAAAAGCCTCGAACACCTGTAACACAATGGCACACAAGCGACGGAGCTTCGTGACAGCCCACGCGGCTCGGATGAAGTCAACAAGGAGACACAGATCATCTGCCCACGCGATCTGCAGCGAGGCGTCGGGCTGACCCAGAGCATCGGCAGATGCAGTGTGGACAATGTCCTCAGCAAGAAGGGCATGATGGAGGCACTGCAAGATCACGGCAAACAGGGCGCCGAAAAGAACATCAGCCAAGCCATCGCCGGGCCGGGAGCCGCGGCTGGCAATGATAGCTTGCGGTTGCCCAACCATCCGCCAAAAGGAACATTCCACACAGTCACGCAAGAGGGCGACCTGATCTTCGGGGACTCCTAACCCGGTCAGTACGCCATCCTGAATAAGTCGGTGAACATGTCTGGGAAGCTGGAGCCCCTGCAAAGCAGAGTCAAGATCACGACCTTGGAAAAGCAGGAGTCGGTCAGCTTCATAATAGGCGGCTTGAATGTCAACAAACAATGCGGCCCATGAGTGCCCGCGGACGGAAGCCAAGTCAACAGCGGACCGGAAGACACTTAAGGCGAGGCCAGTATCGATTCCCTTCCTGCCACCCAGTTGGGTGGGGAAATAATGGGCAATGACTTCCTGACCCAGTGTGGACCTCAGCTGCGAGTGCCATAGCTTTGCGACGCCGTTGAGCATGGCAATCGACCGAAAATTAGCCGGGATGTGGGCCGGGCCTTTCTTATGCAGAGCCCCGACAATAGAAGCTTTGAAGTGCAGGGGCTCGGCTTCTCCCCATGCCATGCGCAGCCACATGGGCCACAGCCAACGGCCGGCCCGGTCCGGGCAGGCTTTCCAAATTTCATTTCTAATGTGGTCAGGCCCGGGGGCCTTGCCCCGTCGCTGTGCCCTGCACATATGTTCAACGTCAAGGAGAGTGGGCACAGCAGCCGCGCATGCAGGTCGTGGTAGGGTGGCCCAGTGTGAAAAGGCCATTTGTAACTGATCATCAGAAACAGGACGTCCCCCTTCCTGCTGTTGAAACTGCAACTGGAGCTGTTCGTCAATATCAAAGCCACTGGCGGCCCGGACATCACGCTTTTGTTTAGCACCTTTAGATGCCCACGAAAGCTTGGCAACAGCTTCCGAAGGCCGCCCGGTGGCATGCCAATGATCAATGGCCCCGACCAAAAGCGACTCGAAGTAAGCCTGCTTGTCCTGGCGAGCCTGCGCATGGGCCTGGGCCCGCAGTTTAAAGCAAACGTGGGCGTAATGAGCCCGCAGCATCTGAGTCTGGTGGCGTTCCCATCTGGGAACCCCAGGCGTCTGCGGTCGCCACGAATGAAAGGCAATGCGGCAGAGCTGCAGTCGCTGGAGGGCCGAGATTCGTCGGAGCTCAGCCCGGGCATCCCGAAGCGTAGTGAGCAGTACTTCGGCTGCTACAGAGAGGTATGGCTGCCGCCGGAGAAAGGGTGGCCGTGCAGGCAGCTGCTTGACGGCAGCATCATGGGCGTCGCAAAGCCGTTGGACTTGTTCTTCACAAGTGCCTGAAAAGGTGTCCCCCAGCAGGGACCACATCGTAGAGGCAACCCGATCACCACTCGCGGGTGCATATGGGCAACGTGATTGCACCCTCCTCCCGCGACGCCCGCAGACTTCAATCAGGGCAGTGATAGGCATATGGTCCCTGGATTCCCCATTCAGAATGTCGAACTCAGGATACTGTCGGTGGGCCTGAACCGTGATCCCGCTTGAGACGAGCAGGTGGTCTAGCCGTTGGGTCTTGCCGCCTGTGTGTTGCCACGTCCAAGTAGGACCAGAGTGAATCTCTGCCCAAGTCCCGGGCGCGGCCAATGAGGCATCGTGCAGGCACGCCAAGAGAAGGTCATCATTCAAACGTGGGGGCCGCAGGGAGAGTAAATCGCCAACAAGGACCTCATCCTCGTCGCGCCCTACAATGTCAGCATTGGCATCCACGCCGATTATCACAGTCCCCCGGTTACAGGCCGAAAGCAAGTGGACTCGAAAATCACCCCAAAACCGCCGCGCTTCCGCCTCCGGCCTCTCCGAGTGTGGGGCATGGGCAGCAACAAGGGTGATCGGTAGTTCGGCACGTTGACACTGTACTAACAACATGCGTGGGTCGGCATGGCGAATCCGAAAGTCATCCAACGATAGGGCCGGCTGTAGCAGATCCGGGCGGATCCAAATTTCTACCCCATACAGTCCCTTCTCGGCACCAGAGCGAAAGCTTAGGAAGCCGTGAGAGGACCATCGGCCTGGCCGACTGCGACACTCTTGGAGAAACGCAATCTGAACATCCAAGGCCTGCAGCTGCTTGGCTAGGTAGACCCGACGTTGACCGTGGCCTTCGCGGTTGAAGAAGGACACATCTACATCTTTAATAGTCTGGATGTTAGCCTGCACAACCCTGAAATTGATGCGAAGCGGTGTGGGGCAGTCAGGTTCGCCTGTCGGAGGGGCCGACGACAGAGGCTGACGACTCTCCGCGGCAGGTGGTTGTGCAGGCGGTGACTCCCACCCCGCAGGCCGCCAGTGAAGGCCATGTGGGCCAAGCTGAGCGCGCGGTAGGAGCCACATCAATGGGGCACAGGCAGCGAGTGTATCCCCAAAGGTTGGCAGCAGACGACACCAACCTGCTGTGGCACACCTGGAGTGCAGGCTGGCATACCCGGCCAACGCGTCAACAATTTCATTGACCAGGGCCCCAGCGTGCCCCGGGACATGGCGGAAGTGAGTGGCACACCGGGACTGGACGCCCTGCCAAAGAGCTCGGCAAACTTGAGAGTGCACAAGGGTGGCTGCGGCATGGCCACAAGCGACCTGCAGAGCGGCACTGTTATCGACTGCTATAGTGACTTGCCTGGGTGCATGACCCGTATGGAGTAGGAGGTGGTCCCACCAAGCCGTAAGCCACGCAGCAGCTGAGACTAGGGCACTCAGTTCCCCAGCATAGGAGCGGAGATCCGTACCTCCCTCCGGCAAACTGGGAAGCCAAGGGGTCATTCCCAGGGCACCAGCATCCCAACCGACACGGTACCAAGCACCTTTCCAACAACACCAGGCTGCAAAGGCCCATCCACCGGAGTGGGTGCCACTTCCATCAGTTGCGATAAGGACCTCATCAGGGGCTCCACCAGCCCAGGGTGGGAATCGCTGCCATCCGCCGTGGTACATGCCTGGTAAGAGAGCGGGGAGGTGAAGGGGCAGCGGCCGAGCAAGATAATGAGCAGCTAAGCCGGCATAATGATAGCCAGCGTCATTAAGGTCGATAGAGCAGCTATCATGGCGCGCAGCTCTAGCTGCTCCTGGGGGCCCGTAGACCGCAGGGGCTCCCCAGGCACGCCCGTACACGTCGCTAAGAGATGATTCCCAAGACGAGAAAGCACGTCCGCTGAGTTGGGAGATCCCGGGATCGGGATATATGACAATTTCCGGTCTCCATGCATGGGGGTGTGGCATAGGGCCCGACCCAACAAACAGGGGCAACCAGAGCAGGCCGAGAATGTAAAAGGCGGGCCGGCACCGCAGCCTTGCACCCTGGGTAAGAAAGCCTATCCAAAGACCTAGCCCGGGAATCCCAGTGGTTCGCCGGCCAAAATCATCCCCATCGCGGGGTGCATAAGGACTGAGACATACCTCAGTCGCGCAAACCCGAGGGGGGTACGTGCAAGCCAGTGTGTGTGCAATCGTACCTTGTGTACTCTCTTCTACCAGATGCAGACCCAGAGGGTCGACCCGAACAGCGGGAACCCATCTAGAAAAGCTGAAAGGTGCAAGAGAGGGAAAGAAGGTCCCCCTGCTGGGGTCCCATCGCTCACCTCGTACGGTAGGTACGCAGAGCGGCAAGACTGCCCCAGATTGCCAGGCAAATATAAGGCCCGGCTCAAGTACTTTAAAGGGGTGCCCCCAAAACGCGAAGGCGGCCGCAAACTGTACCGTGGGCCATTCCAGGGTCTGCGGCTGACGAAGGCGAGGATACCAAGAAACGCTGTCAAGGCAGAGCACATCCCCAGAGCGCAGATAAAGAATGGGAGATCTGGAGAGAGAGGTACCTCTCCATGCAGCTGGAGTGGCGGAAACGGAAGAGGCTAAAGGTGCGAACGCACGGAGACGATCTAAGACTTCCTGGGGCGAAGCTCGCCATGGCAGCATAACAGCACGCGAGCTCACTCCGCCGTGAAGGAGCACAATCACAGAGTCCGGGTCCGGAGGGGCCGGGACCCAGTCAATGAAGGCAACATGCTGAGTCGGGCGTACTCGAACGAAATGATCCCATGCAGGGATACTATGGCGTAGCACGTCCGGGCATCGGTGCGATGGCCCAGGAAAGGGCCCCTGCACCATCCCAGCAGGATTCCAGACCCGATGCAAGTACTCAGTGTTGGTCCCACTGGCCGGAGTGCGGACTGCACGAACCTCCGGGGTGAGAATAAAAAGGAGACTGGCGCCTCCCAAACACGGCCACCGCCAAAGCAGTGAAAGCGAAAGGGCGATCCACACGGGGAGTTGTTCCCGAGGAGAAGTCCCTGACACAACATCCCCGTTGCGCAGAAGGGTGCCGTGGCGAAGCTCGGCCTTAGGGACCCCAAGGACTTGCGGTTGTGAGGGCAGAGTAGGCAGCGCAGTCCAAAGCTGCCACGCATCAACACAGGCTGGAATCTCACTGCAGAAGCACCCAACAGAGGATTCAACTATAACAGTTACATCATCTGCCGATTGGGAGCATTGGACTAGATGGGGCAGGTCGTCGGCGGCCCACGGAACTGGCGCCCAGCGACCCGGGAACCGCTGGGCAAACACACCCTCAAAGGTGAGGTCCAAGGCATTCCATCGAGCCAGGGCCGGGATGCGAGAGCGGAGTGGCCGCACCGAAGGTCGCCATAAGACTACCTCAATCGTAGAGGAAACAGAGAAATCGACGGACCAAATTGCACAGTGCCGAAGCTGGGTCGCAGTGGCAAAGCAAGGCGGGGAGTACGTGGGCTCAAAAACCGCAGGTGGGAGCGCCACAAGCAAATCTCCCGAACGCCAGTAGACGTCTGAAGCTAAGTCCCGGACAGTAGCCGGTGCACGGAGGGACAAAGCGTGCAGGGAGTGGCTGTACCGCAGGACCTGTGCAATCCATTCAAGTGGCGCGACCCGAGGGATGCACAGAGCAAAATGATCCTCCAGCGAGGACACCACCACACACACCAGTTCAAGGCAAGGCGGTTGAGGGACAACCATAAGGAAGGGAAGCGGCGTAGCCGGCCATACCGGGGCAATTCCTGTTCCCCAGCCAGGCTCGAGCTGACTTGCCCTATCAAGCAAGTGATCTGGTGACGCAGAAGTTGGGACCTGTCCCAGAACTTGAGGCCCAGTGAATGGGCTGACATAGACAACCTCCAAGGTGGCCCGCTCAGTGAGATCCTGCATGTTCTCATGGCCTGCGGGGGCCCGCCAAGGGAAAAAACCAGCGCGAATCGGGGCTGGTGCCGTGTCAACAGGCTGGTACATGCCCCAGACACCAGACAGAGATAGCCAACCATATAGGAGCAGGGCCCAACTGAAGCTGCGTTTGGAAAGAACGCAGGACGCAGCGGAGATGGCAGCCGGAAAGCCGAGGTCCCAAGATGAGTCCGGATCAACCTGACGATCATCCTGACCCGGCGTATCTTCAGCAAGAAGCGGGGGGCGACCATCAAAGGGATCCCAGGTGAAAGTCGCATCAGGGTCAACCTCGAGGACATCAGCGTCGCGGAGAGACCCTCCAGCGCGGCTGCGTCGAATGGAAGGGACCAGTCTCCAGCCAAAGGGGGGTCGGCATGCGCAAATGCCAGCCAGGAAAACCCCGATCGGTTCGTCAGTGGGTGGGATCAAACATATGACAAGGGCTTCAACCGGAAGGGTCCGACTGACAAAATGCAAACGTGTGAGGCCACCTTGTAGTACCGGGACCCACGAACCCAACATTTGCTGACCATTCGGACTTCGAAACGTGGGTCCGCGCGGGTCCCATATCCCACCTCCTCGTATAGTGACCGAGCGCCCTACCCGGCTAGAGGTGGACCAGAATGTCGCCGTGTCCCCAGTATCAAAACGAAAGGGGAGGGACCAACTGGCGACCTGACGGGCGACCTCAAGGGAAGGAAAATTCAGTGTGGGACGTGGTGCATAACCCGGCTGACCAGGGCAAGGCTGCAGCCCAAAGAGGTCCCCGTTGCGCAGTCGAATGACCTGATGTTCATGCACAGCACGGAGCGCCGGTGGAAGCATAAGATGCCAGGATCTGACCTGGGGTGAGCGCATTGCAGCAGCCGCCTGAATGGCAGCCGGGGTAGTGTCGACCGGTAAGAGAAAGGCACCCGTCTCATCTAAAGTGTGAATGATTACAGTGGCCAAACCGCAGGGAGCGACCGGGGCCAGGACGACTTCTGTGAGTGGCCGAACCCCTCGAACTGGGAAGAAACGAGTGCACCAGCTGCCACAAAACCGTTGCCCAATCCTATCAAAATATGTCCAGGAACGCCCTAGATCAGCAGCTTCAGCGGCGCTCCATCCAAGGATTGGACATAATGTGCGGACGGTGGCCTGATCAGGACGCAGATAGCATTGGTCGAATGCGGTAAGGCCATCACCTTCGTGGAGGCGCCAGCCAGCATGTAAGATGAAAGGTTCGCCATCGGTCCAATCAATTCGTGGGGGAAAGTGGACAACTGATGGTGGCGATCGACTCCGGCTGCGCGCATCCCATCGCCCTCGGGACCTGATGGTGCGAGCCTCAGACGAGTCAGGACTGCGGCAACCCTCGGAAGACGAGGCGGCCGAAACAGCTGGAAAATGCAGAAACGAGACAGCCAACAAAAGGAAGAATCGGGACCCCCTAGATGCGCCAGAGACCAGACCCCCTCCGCTAGCAACAGCTTTGAGCCACCAATCTCCTTCCCGGACTCGAGTGATCTTGTCCGGCCGAGCTGTAGGCGGGCGGACCTGAAAACCATCAATCCACATGTCATAGGCAGCATCACGGTTAACCGCGACGCATTCAGTGCAGCTGTGGGTGCGGATGACATGAACTTGTGAGGGCTCGGTAGCTTGAAAAAGGAGCCATGGTATGACTCCTTGATGCCCGACACAGGGCGTCCACCGTCCCTCTGCGAAAGGGGTGTCGTCCCCTAAAATAGTCGCCTGAGCTGCACTCCACCGTTGATTAGGGCCAAAGCAAAGTAATCGGGTGGGACAATTTGGTCGCCACAGCAGCAGGGAGGAGGGGTGGTCAACCACAAAGTCGGTCCTCCACGCGCCTTCAGCGTGGGCACGCTGCCAGGTAGGAAAGTGAGGCAGAGGAGGGGTCATAGCAAACGAAAGCGTACTGACAAGTCGAACACCCAAAGTATCCCCGGTACGAAGGGCAAGGAAAGCGCCCAGCTGTCTCGACTCGGCAACAAGACCTGGACCTAACTGGAGAGCCACAAGCTGCCCCATACGGAGGCTAACTGCCCTCTCAGCTGCGCGGAGAGTCAGAAACGCAGGCAGCAACACACAGAGGCGTTGCCCAAGGCCGACAATCAGGACGCAAACTAACCCCCGTCCAGGGTGCGGTACAGCAACATGTAGCCCCACTGAGGTAGAGTCAGCAATGGCAAATCCCCGATGCCATGAGGCTAGGGCGCCCGGACATACCTCCAGGAGGCTGGGGAAGATCTCGGACTCATCGACCCGGACAACCGTCCAGGCCGCAAAGGGGTCGGCGACGTGGACTTGCATGAGTCGGGATGGAGCAGATGCTCGAGGGACTCCTGGCCCAGCCGACTCAGGGCCTGCGGCGACCGGGGCGGCCTGAAGCTGCATAGCGTGACATCCGAAAAGAGTGCCATCATGGTTTGCACACTGGCCAAGCACAAGCATTGCCAAGAGGCTCCAGCCGACCCGGTCTGGCCAGTGGGTGACGGCAGCCCACAAGACAGCGGCCAGGACGGCGCGAGCAAGTGGCCCCACCGAGCCAGAGCTGTCGCCCTGTTCAGCATTGCCAAAAACAACATCTCCGTTCCGAAGCTCGCAGGACTGTTCAAGCGCATATGCCGGAATCCCACCCACGCAGACAGAGACGGGGTCAAGATTTAGCGATGATGCCAGAGTGTATTTAGAGACAAACCTGTCTGACACTCGGCAGAGACGCTCACCAGGTGTGGCCACAACGACGTGGACCTGGGCCGCAACATTGCAGACCTGAACCAACTGGACCTGGCGCGCAGAAGTCCACTGGACAGGAGTCCACATGCCCGGAAAGCGCAGTTGGAAGTCACCTGAAAAGCAGTGGGATTCAGGGCACCAAGCTTCTTCGGCAGCAACCCGCGCGAGGACCGGCGGCCGGTCAGGGCGAAGTAACTGGACCTGAACATCAAACATAAGGCGAAACCCCAAGGCCCATGGGGCGTGCTGGGCTGCGAGTCCATCTTGTAGATGCCATGGTTCGACCGCCTGCAGTGCCTCGTCATCGGCATCCTGGGCCTCCAGTGCGTACACGACATCACCGTTGCGAAACTTGAGTGCGGCGGGTGGCACATCGAAGAATTCTGCGACCGCCAGGCCATGTGGGACAGCAATTTCTCCCACATTTCGCCCTACAAGACGGGCGATCAAGGACATGAGCCATTTAACTGTCATGACCCGCGGTGCGACGATTGCACGAGGGAGGCCTCGCCACTGCAGCATCAAAGTGACAATGGCAGGGTCGGCGCCGATTGGGACTATCGACAGTTCATTGAATGCCGGGCCCGGCCACACCGGGAAGAAGTCTGCCGGCAAAGCAGGCTCATCATTCAGGAACTGTGCCCAAATGACATGGTGGCGCGTATCTCTTGACGCGGTATAAGCAGGGTAAGCGCCAAGGAAGGGGCTATGCAAGACAACATAAACCGGGTCGTGGGCCGTGATATCACGGAGCTCTCTATTACGGGGGTGCTCACCCCATGGAAAACCGCCAGGGCGGTGCATAGCAGAGACAGCTAGGGTGCCAAAGCAGACCACAATCCATCCAGGCCCTGCATGACGCCAGCCACGCCCAAAGAGGAAGAGTCCAAGGTACCGCAAGGGTGAAGCGGCCCAACCGAGGGCGCCAAGTATGGATGAGGATCGATCCTCTGCAACGGGCGCGCCAGCGTCAGCTGAGGCAGGCGTGGCGTAGGCAACCTCCGGTCGGGTAGCAGAGGGGCGTGGGGGTCTGATGCGAGCACCTAAACAGTCTCCATCCCGTAGCTGCACGGTATCGGCTTCGTCATGGATCAACCCAGAAAAGTGGAGATCACAGACATCGTCCCCGACATGGAGCGAATGTAAGGCAGATGCCCGAACACAGCGCGGTAGGCAACAAGGGACCAACCGATCTCTCAATACAATCCCGACCGCAGCATTGTCAGGATGAAGCGGCTGGCCAATGAGGTGGACCGCCAGGGCATCCGGTTGTGGATGTAAGAGAGCAAGGCCTCTCCACCCACGGTGATTGGCATGGTCTTGAAACACAGTAAAGGGCGAAATCTCCACCCCGGCATGATATTCCAACCAGCTGCATTGTGCACGCGCCGTGAAGGGATTGTGTATGCAGATGGGCGTACCTGGAGGGATGGCGTCAACAACCGCTCGAACCCCATGTTGAAACTGGGACAGTTGGACTTGCACAGTGGTAACGGCAGAAGGAGAAACGGTAGCCCGAGCAGGGCCAACCGGTGGCCACTGACCCAAGGAGTAGTCTTCCACAGGGGTAGCAGCCTGCAGATAGAGAACGCGAGATGCGACCGGTGGCGCGTTGGCCGGAGTGGGCGGCGGAGGCCCGGCAGGACGCACATGAGGGGCTCGGCCAGCTCCATGGGTCGCCGCATTGAAAGTGGTCACTGTGGCTGGAGAACTGCCCTCTTCATCCGAACTTGAGCCAGGAGGTGAGATAATAGACGCGGACACCCACCCCGGGAGCAGGAGAACGCAGCCAACGAGGTGAAGATGTCTCAGGAAAGTCCCTGCTTGACGGCCGAGACATAGGATCAACCAAGCGGCGGCAGGGGATGCATCTCTGTCCCCTCGAGAGGGGTCAAGGTCAAGAAGGTCAACCGGGCGAGCCGGGGTGGCAGAGGCTTGGAGCACGCGTCCGGAGTCGCCAACTGGTTCAGCGTCTGGCTCGGCCAGTCCTTGCCACAGACGCGCTGCATGGTAAGCTAGATCCCGGGCTAGGTCGTTGACCCGCAGGACAGCAGCATGGTCAATCCCCACACCTTCTCCTGTAAGATTAGTCTGCGTCGCACAATCATGGCAGGGTGGCCGAGCTCCGTTCCCATCAAGTCTCTGGCCGTCAACCCCAACGACTATTGGAGGTTCATGAAGGGGCCCCCGACTAGGGGTAGTCCTAAAGAAGGGGCCCTCGACAATGAAGGGGTCAGGCTCCCAAACGTTATCACCCGGAATCATGGGAGGGCTCCTAGAACAACCTGAATGATGGCACCGGAGGGGAATTCCGGGAGACCTACCCCGGGTGGGAACAGGTTACCGCCAAACCCTAAGGCTGGACGGCGCTCTGGTACTAGCTCATGGTGAAACAGAGCGCGCAAATGAGCCGCCAATATATCCCAATCAAAGGGGTGGTGGCCAAACGTGACAGTCGCTGAGTCTCCAAAGTGCAACAGCCAGAAGCGAGAAGGGGGAACCGTCCGAGGCACAACCGGCACGAACATGAGGTGTTGGACTGGGTCCGTTGCCGGGTGATGCGTGGAACGAAACTCCCCAGGGCTAGCTATATTATGTAGGCGACTAACAAGCTCACACAGCCAGCGTGTCGGGTAGCCCTGGGGCAGCCAGGGGAAATCTATAGGTTCCCTTACGTTAAGCGTCCAGATCCTAATTACATCCGGGGACGGGTCTGGAGGCTGCACAGCAGGAATGATAGCATACTCAGACGGGCCGGGTGCACTGCCCGGTTGCATAGCGACAACAACACTGTTGAGGGAAACCAGCCAGAGGGCCACGCCCACTAGGGTCCGCGGGGAACGTGCAGCAGCAATGCGCACAGCTCCCTGTACGCAATGACCAAGAAGGTGTGGAAGGCCTTGGGTAATAACGGCACGGGCTCCTTGCGGGGGAACGAGGCCGTCACGGACGGCAGAAGATGGCTCAAGCTGAAGTACAGAACCATCCGGGTCGAGCGTACAGAAGTGGAAATGACAATGAGTTGTGAAATGCTGCGTCACCGGGCGAAGCAGCTCGCGCCCCCCTTCGTCCCGAATAATCCACCAAACCCCGGAACCAGGAGGCACCACAACGAGCTCCAGCACATGAGGACAGGAGTCAAAAGCGACATGCAACCTATAGGTAGGGGAGGGAAGGAAGGCTGCCAGGTATGCACGCAGATGCTGTTCAATGTACGCGGCACTCACACGAATATGAATGGGGCCTCGCCCGGGGAGCCACAAGTGCAGCTGAACATCCGAGGGACCGTTCCTTTCAATAAAAGCACCCAGGCTGGTCGGGGAGACCCCAAATCCGTGTGTTTGACGCCCCAACTCATGGGTCCATGAAAGGGTGCATGTGCGGGCAAAATCCCGCCTGTCCTGGACGAATGTAACGAAGGTGTCGTGTGGCCGGAGCCTACCTGGGGGTGCATTGACCTGGACACCGCCTGCACCTATAGCAAGGGAAGCCAGAAGGGCAAGCACTCTCACTTGACCGGACGCCAAGAATGCGGCAGCAGCAAGAGATGAGGGGGCCGGGGGTGGGGCTGGCTGCTGCCATTCACACTGCCTGGCCAGCTGCGCGACTCCGTCGTGAGAGTCATGACCGATGTTAACACACCGATCCGCAACGTCATGCAAATCACCTGGGTATGGCCATACCTTACCCTCATCATACAAGAAGGTTTGCGGAAGTTCCCAGAGGGAAAGCGCTAAAACATTAGCAACATTATCCCAGGAAGGAGCGGCGGAACAAACCCCAAACACAAGGGCCCCGTCCCGGATAGCCCAGAGTGCGAAGCCTGGAATGCATGGCACCACACACTTTAATCGGCAATGTTCGCACCACAAGCTTGACCAGATGCTCGGGTTAGGTGGGGAGAGACCAACCACGCAATCGACGGGCAGAGCTGGCATACTAAGGGGGTGAGTGTCTGGCACCAGAAAGGGGCCTCCAGTTTGAACACCGGCGTCAGAGGTCCGAACACCGCTGGGCAGTTGCAGAGGTATGGGTACATGTATTATCGGCCGGACCGCACGGCTGAAGCGCAGCCCCGCGGAGAATGCTCGATTCATGTCTACCACAACATGGACACACCACAGGCGGCACGTAGGGTCCCCAGGAAGTGCAGTAGTCTCCCAAGTAAGCACCGTCATCCCGTGGGACTGGAGAGACCGGAGAAGACGAGCAGGGAGTTCCGTCCGAGAGGCAAGCTGCAGCAGAAACTCGTCATAAGACACGAAGCGGCCTTCAAAGCACAAGATCAACCCCAGGGAGGCAGGGTCCGCACGGTCGTTGACTCTGTAGACCACAACGCACTGCCGGCGGCCGATTGCCACAAACGAAGCATGGGGCAGCACATCTGGGAAGGGCAAATCAAAGAACGAAAATTTGCCGGTGCAGGTTTTGGACATAAGAAGACGCAGTACCTCAGCCGTCACGGTGGTACTAGCCGGCACACTAAAAGTATGCACCCCTTCCGCGGCCTGAACCACAGAGACGTGGCGTACCGGCGCCAGCCATGCAGCCGTAGAGCACCTGGGAAGTGGCAACAAAAGAGACGAGATGTCAAAATGCTGCGTCGGTCGAGCGGGCTTCACAGTAACAACATCTCCATGCCGTAATCGTAAGCCGCGCCCGCAAAGAATCTGAAAGGCATCATGCTGGAGGAACTGCGCTACCGCAACAATTACATCCCGGGAAGTGTAGGCAGCTGGTAAGTCGACACAGCAAAGATCGACACACGCATCAACGAGAACGGTGATGTGTTCACGGCCCGATGCTGCCGCAACTAAATGGACCTTATCAAATGTAGGACCGGTGGAGGCTGCCACCAGGTGTGGCCTCCCCAGACGGACAGCTTGCCTGTGAAGCTCGGCTGCGACTTCCCCGGCATCCATATCCCCGAGAAATTGAAGTACAAGGGAGGACTCTGGCGCCCAAATTTTGCACGTGACAAGGAAACGGCGTGATGAATCACCGAGGCTGGGCCAAAGCAAGGCGTCACCAAAGTCGCCCGTGCGTTGCCACATCCCTTGTAGATCGACATGGGCCAACGGGGGGGCAGCAAGATCACGATCCCGGGCAAGTGACGCCCCTTGCAAGACTTGGCGCGGAGACCCAGGGGCGCTGTGAACTTGGACCGCGGTGGACGGCCTGAAAGCAACGAACAGTAAAAGTGCCAAAGGCAGGCCTTTCAGATCAACCACAGCAAATGAATGAAGAGTGCTCAGAAGGGTACCCAAGAGCAGAGTAGGAGTCTGCATTGAAGTGCAACTCGCGCTCGTACCAGCACCCCCTTCAGGTACAAAGGAAAGATCCTCACCTGGGGGGTTAAGGCCCACACCTTCAGTACCCAAAAACACGTCGGGGGTCACCCCGGAAGTGGCAGTAGGCAGAAACAGGGTGTGGCTGGAAACGGGACCGTCGACATCCTCACCAGATGGAGGTGGCCGCCCTCCGACTTGCTGTTCAGAGGACGAAGAGGAGTCCTGCCTGAAGATATGAGGGAAGAACATGACCACAACTGGCAAGTTCCCGTGAAGCAACTGATCGGGCAAAACGATGCTTTCACGATGGAGGAGCCCAAAACGGCCGTCAGCGCACTGGTCCAACCAGTCAGCAGGAATGCCTCCATTATTACGCCTGATGGCCTCATCGAGCATACGCAAGGCAGTGATCGGGGGACGCACACACGCAGTGACAATGCGCCACCCCAAAGGCCTGAAATCCAAAATACACGGAACTTCGTCGGAGTGACAGTGGATTTCAAGGAACTGCACCAATGGCAACGATGGCAAGGGTTGCCAAATGCGCATTACCCCACCTCGAGCAGTAGGCGAGGCACGGAACGACACAATTCTACGGAAAGTCGCCGCGTCAGCAAAGACGGGCACCTCAACATAAACAAGGCCATTCGGTGTTATGAGGATCGCCTGGTTGTTTGAGTATCCCTGGAAAATATCGGCCCCGGCTTGGCCCGATGGGAGACTGACCTGCATAGCTGAGAGGAGAGACAGAGGCGGATCCAGAGAAGCACCGAGAGGGGCTTGCAGTGACTCTGGGCCGGGACCAGACGCGAATTGGAGAGCATCAACCCCTTGCAGGAAGAGTGGTTGCGAACTCAAGGTAAGCCAACCCCAATGGCAGCGGCCAAGAAGACCATCGACCCGGAGCTGAAGTTCCTGCGCCGTAATAGCAAGCTGAGCAATAGCTTGGCAGGAAGAGTCGCGCACACACATCAACATACAGATGCGACCCCCGACCGCTCTCAAGTCCACCGGGAGCCATGCATATCGCCACGGTAGAGACCGTGGCGTCATGAGGAGCTGCTCCCCTGGCAAGCCTGGAAGGGGGCTCTGGAGAGTGGTGACGGAAAACACGTCGTCACGGAAACCCAAGGCCGCGGCAATCTGTCCCCATAGGAGCGGCCCATGCATCCATTCGTCTGCCATGAAAAGTAGCGGACAAGGCTCAAGCACCGGTGAGCCAGGCGGCTGGCCCACGAAGACGGCCAAGGATCGACGGTGACGATCCGAGCGCGACAGCATTGAATTGCCTGCACGACCAACCGGGTAAACATGACACATCACCTCGACTGAGGGAGTGGGCAAAACTGGTCCAGTGCTGATGACTGGCCGATTTTCATGGAACCCATGAACATGCAGTTGAACCGAGGCAACGGGGCGACACAGGGCAAGTCCAAGCGAGCCCAACTGAGTAGCAGTCCTGAGTGAAGCACCATCGACGAGCGACAGATACAGAAGGAAGAAGGTCAGGGCAGTATACCTCGGGTTGCTGTGTCGGCCAGCAGCGGAGCCGGGCGCAACACGCTTGCCGTGGACAATATTGCAGCGCACCAACCGTCGAGGAGAACGGGAAGGTAAGGAGCAGCATTGAAGGGCCAAAAGGGTTTGCAAGCCGCAAAACAGCTCGAGGTATGTCAGAACCCTTGCTCGGACAACACGGAGGGCACAGGTCTCACATGCCAGGGCCAAAATGGTAAACCGGATGGCCGAGACTGGGGCAAGCACAACACAGGCCCAAAGCGCGGACGCAACCACAGTGCAGCCAAGTTGCCACTTGCGCTCAAAAGAAAGCCGAGGCCCGTATGCGGTCTGGAAGCGGTCAGAGACTGTACAAGCTCGCCGGAAAGCTACGTACACTATGCACAACTTGCCTACCAGGATCACAAGACGACAGACGGTCAGTCCGCACCACTGGTGCCAGGCAAAGCTCAGCAGAGCAAGTTTCGGGCTTGATAGCCTTACGTGAGCTCCTGCGTGGTCTCCAACCCCACGCTCTCCAGGAAAGGGCATGGCTGCCGCAGAATAGTCTGGACGTGATGGTGGGCGGACGCTTCCAACGCAATGAATCCCTTGCAAGGAAGGCCCGCCTCGGTCAAGAGACCTGGGAACAGCCATTCTTGTGCCGTTGCTGGTGCGTAGGCAAAGGGATCGAGCAAACCACCCACCGAGATGTGGGCGGCAACCAAAAGTCCTTGAGGTGCAGCATGAAGGGCGCCGGCACATCCACGTAGCTGATGCAACGCTTCTGCAAGCAGTCTGTGCAACGACGGAAGGTCCGCATCGGCCTCGCCCGAGACCCCATCCTTCAAGGCCTGCCAAGTCTGCTCCACACGCTGCCGAACTAAGGGTTCGGCCTGGGCGTCCGTGGTGACCGGCAAAGCTGCATCCTGGCGCGGGCATGCTGTCAGATCCCCAACCGGATCTGCCCCACTGTCGACAGCGAAGCGAAGGAGTGCCTGCCATGCCGCCACCCAGTCCTGCGCTTGGGGAGCTGCCGGTGCAACAGGCCCATTGTGTGACAAGTCCGGAATAAGCTCGGTGTCGTTGTCCGTTATCTCCGTGACTGGCGGCCGGCTCAGAGACTCCGGGGTGCGTCCTGTCGACTCCCTGGGTCACGGCGTTGTCTCGAGTGATCTGCGAGGACTCTTGGCGGGGCGTTCGGTGCCACCGCCGCTCCGCTTTCGCCATCGCCCGCCAGAGCTCATCGAGGGCGGTCCCGAGGCGGATGCCTGCTCGGTGCCAGCGCCAAACTGCACAGATACAGGGGTGTCGCCCATGCCGTAGTCCACACCTACCATATGGGAACGCCCCGGAAGCCCAAAGCTGGCCTCGGAGCCCATATCGCCAGTGCCCACCATTTGACCCTCTGCACCATGGGTGTTCTCCGGGCAAGACCTCTGCACTTTGCAGAGCGACTGCACGGCGAAAGGCATGCTTCAGCTCCGTGTTGGAGCAGCGCGGGTCCACACCAAGAAGGGAATACGCCTTGTAGTAGATACGGCAGCTTGATGCGCTTCAGGCTCTCGGTTATCACATGTCACAGTCAGACTCCGAACATGCTCGTTTTTCGATGGAAAAGCAGGTGGAAATTTGTGGTTGCGGTTTTTTTGGTGGCCCCTTCGCCCGGACAGCTTTTCGATCCGATCGGGCGGCTGGACGAGCATGCAGTCTTCACTGGCTGACGGGCGCTGACCTGCCAATGACGTTTTTTGGTGGAAAAGGTGACGCCTTCAACGTGCTGAAAAGGAACTTCCCAACAAGCCAAAAGCGGACGTCCAAAACGCGCCGAAAACGAACCTCCAGAAACGCTCCGAAATCGGCACAGTCCGAAATCCAAAGCCTTCCAAAAACGGACCCCTGCACGGACCAAATCTGACTTCCAAAACGCTCCCAAAACAGACTGCCAAACCGACCAAAAAAACACACCCAAAATGCGTCGAAAGCCGATTCCAGAACAAACCAAAACCGACGACCCGAGCACGGACCACACACGAGCGCCAAAACCGCGCCGGAAACGGCACCGGAGGTGGCGTTCGGGCCGGCACAGAGCCCTCGCCCAAACGCCACGCAGCGGAGGTAGGATCTGGAGGTCCGGCAAGTGCACCACTGGAAAAGGTCCTCAAAGCCGAGGCGATAGCCTGTACCTCCGCTACCTGGGACAAGCTCCACACTCGTCCCAGGGAGCTTTGTGCCAGAGCCACTCGATCGGATGAGGCGCTGGACTGTTGTTCCGCCAAAACAGCTTGCATCTCCTGCACAGCACCACGGGTGTCTTCGTCGATCTTGTCTCCGATAGCTCGGACTCGACTTATGAGTCCCAGAAGATGGAGACCAATCGTCGACAACCATTGCTGCAGCGACGTCTTCAACTCGTCCTTGGCACGAGCATTGCCGGTCAGGCGCTTTGATAATTTTGAAATAGCGTTCGCCCTTCGTTGGGCTTGCTGTTCGGCTGTGGCATCCTCCTGGTTGAAGTTGGCCTGCAACCAGAGGTCCTGAGTCGCCCGCGAAGAGATAGATTGGAGCGACGTCGTAACCGCTGGAGGTAATCCGAAGTCTATTCGGGTCACCTGCGGCGCCTCTCCTTTCTGGGAGCCCTTCCCTGCTTTCGAGGACTTCTCCGTGGCCTTGGGCGGCATACTGCCGTGGTGTCGCTGTAGGAGAGAAAAATCCGAAGTCCGCCCTACGCCACGATGTAACCGCTTCCTCGCCTTCGAACGAAGGCGACGAAGCCGACGGTGCCAACTTGGGCTCGCCCCGCGTTTCCGCACCACCGTGAGAGATTGAAGAAGTCGGAGGAGAACCAATATAGATAAGAAACACACCGACCGCCGCCAGAGGGATAAGCGGTGTGTACAGCTTGTTGTTGAACATACAAGCCGTAAAAGATGCCCACGTCAGCCAATTGAACGGCAGTGACGGGGAGGGCCAGAGCCCTTGGTGAAGCCTCCTTGGGCAAGCACCGGCGCGCCGAGATGGCGCTGGGGTCAGGAATAAAAAGTGAGACCTACAACTCCACAGGAGACGCAGGCCCCAAACTTTTCTCGAGCCGTGACGCCTCCTGACCCCCCCTCCCAAATCCTAAAGCCGACACCCCGAAGCCTTCTGAAATCCGAAGTCCTCGCAGAAACTGACCCACAAAACTTCTATCAGAAAGCCTGCAGTCGCCCAAACCAGTAAAAAAAAAACGGGTTTAGGGTTTAGGGTTTAGGGTTTAGAGTTTAGGGTTTAGGGTTTAGGGTACTCTGTAAGCAAGGTCGTAAACCTCTCGAACTGGGTGCACAACCCTTTAACCGCCCAAAACGGGTAAGCAAATTAAAAACCCCTGGAAAAAACCGAATTGGAACTAAACCTTGAAGCCTAAATCCTAAACCCGACACGCCCCAAACTCCAAACCGCAAAGAGGAAAACTAATGAACAAACATCTCTAATCCCTAATCCCCACGCCCCATAACCCGTAATCCTCAATCCCAAATTTCCCTAAACCTTATAAATCCCCAATCCCCAGAACCTCTAATCCTTAATCTCTAACTCCATAAACCCTAAATCCCTAATCTCTAACCCTAATCCCTATAATCTCTAACTGCCTAAAACTTGAATTCGATCCTCTCCCTCCCCGCCTCAAGGGCCGGATCTATCTTGGCCTTCACGCGGCGCAGTTGCGCATGGAGCTCCCGGGCTACCGGCGCCACGGCCTTCAGCTTTTGTTAAGGGGTTTTAGGGTTTGGTGTTTTTTGAGGGGTTTTAAGAGTTGCTTTGTTTAGTTTAGGGTTTTGGGTCTAAGGTTTAGGATTTGAGGCTTAGGGTTTAGGTTAGGGTCAAGCGTTCAGGCTTTGGGGTTCAGGCAAAAGGCTTCTCTCTGGTCTGCAATGGCTACTGCAGCAGATGTCGCTGTTGTTGCGGTGTCATGCCGGTAGCATTCTTGTGGGAGCAAGAACCCCAGGAGCGGCAGAGCTCGGGTTCAGCCGTGACAAGTTGAGTCTGTGGAGGTTCATGGGTAGCTTTATAAGTGAGGTTATAAGTAGGGTAACTATAGTCATAACCCTTTTAGGGGACTCATAACCCGATGTATAACTACCCATGAACCTCCAAGTAAAGCCTAAACTGCCAACCTAAAAGGCTTGTTCCGGTCTCGATGCCCGGATGCCTTGATGATCCGACTGGCCAGAAGCTCACACAGCTCCATGCACAGTCTTGTGTGGATGGTCTTTCGAAGGTCTTCTGTCGGATGTCCGGTCTTCGTCTGAGCTTGTGAGACCTCAAACTGTTCGTTGACCAGAGACCTCGGGTTTCATTTCGGAGCTGGAGAGACCTAAACCTTCAAAACAGTGGCCTGCAAAGAGGAAACAGACAGCAAACCACTCGAATAAAAACCGGGAAATTCTTACAACACTTGAACGCGTAGTACCATGAACCCTTGAGCCCCAAACTTCTTAACCCCAAAACTCTAAACCCCAGCTCGGGGCCTCGTCAGACAAGAAGGCGTGGAAGCTTCCTCCGCGATCCTGCAGGGAGAAGCCACATATGCCAAACACTGGTAGTCCTGGTGTTAGTCGTAGTAACAGTCGTAGTAACAGTCGTAGTAGTAGTAGTAGTAGTAGTAGTAGTAGTAGTAGTAGTAGCAGTAGTAGTAGTCGTCGTCGTCGTAGTAGTAGTACTTAGCAGTAGTATCAGCAGGAGCAGTAGTTACTTACAGTTAGTTGTTGTGGGTAAAGTTGACGTAGTACTCGTCGGCGTCTTCGTCGTCGATACGATGGCGGCAAGTGGCGGTGCCAGTCCTTAAAGGATCATGGGACTTAGTAACTAGGGTTATAAGTAAGGTAACTAAGGGTGCCCTACGAACCTTCAAGTATAGTCACACCGTCAAGCTGACCGGTCCGATCTTCCGGGCTGTCTGCAAAGTCTATCAGGACTCAGCACCTTTGCAAGGAAAAGCAAAACCTTGAGGGTTTACTTGGAGGTTCATGGGCAGTTATAAGTGGGGCAATAAGTCCCGTAATATGGGTTACCTACTTGTCGTGTATCATGGGGAACTAAAGGTTAACCTTTTTGGCTATATCGGGATTATGCAGGGACTCTACTACCCATTTTTGGGTTAAAGGTTGCCTACTCTACTACTACGGTGATAATTATGGTTACCCTACTTATAACCCCTCTTGTAACTGTCCATGAACCTTCAAGGCTTGGGGAAACAATTGCGCAAACCCAGCGCCAGATATCTCGGAACCCCACGCTGAAACGGAGGTCATAGGAACGCTTAGGGTGGTACTTGGAAGGGTTCCTTTAAGCGTCCCTGAAAAGGGAACTATAGGGATTTCATAAGGGTATAGGATTTAGGGCCTACTTGGAGATTCATGGGTAGTTATAAGTAGGCTCATAAGTGGTGTAACTATACTTATAACCCATATTAGAGGACTTCTAACCCTCGACCCTGGACTTCGAAGTTTCACCCGACGGCTGGGCCCCTCCCTTTCCAGTTGTGTTCCACAACTGAAACCGAAGGGTGTTCAACCCCAAAGCCCAAAGCAAGCCCTCAACCCTGAACCCAAAATGAAACCCAGGGCCCTCGCCCTGAAAATGCTTATTCTTTAGAAGCTGCCCCCACCCTGTAATAGTGACTATACGGATTATATTAGGGCCCTATTATATTCCTATTATACCACTATTACAGCGTGGGGCTTCTAACCTATTCTGGAATTCTTACTACAAAGCCTTACAAAATCGCAGTGAGCCTGTCTAAAACCCTGCAAATCATCTACAAGCTCTGGCAGCCCAAAACTCGCCTCAGGGTTTCAGAGATGTTTAGAGTTTAGGATTTAGGGTTTAGGGGTTTAGGGTTATAGGGTTTAGGGTTTAAGGGTTTAGGGTGTAGGGGTGTAGGGGTGTAGGGGTTTAGGGTTTAGGGTTTAAGGGTTTAGGGTTTAGGGGTTTAGGGGCCTCCTGCAGAAAAAGCAGAACCCCCGGATGCCTCTCCGCAGCTCTCGAGAAGGGCCTCAGCACAAACTTGGGTGCAAGCAATGGTTTAGGGTTTCAGAGAGCATGCTCAACACGTACTATTTCTTCTTCCTTATCATATTCCTGATGTACATGGGCAGTTGTCAAAATTATGGCCCCTTTTTGGGTACCCTAAACATTGGGTGCCGTAATATGAGAAGTACCCAAAAAGGGACCCCAGTTTTGACAACCACCCACATATGTCCCAAACCCCTTTTCTAATTAGTTGCTCAGGCCCCTATATTACGGGTTGCTTCGGGGGCATCCACTGTCCCTTGGGTCGCTGCACTCCTCAGTCCTTCCGTTGCTGAAACGGAGATCATAGGAACCCTTCGGGGGGGTAGGGGGCCGTTATTTATGCACATAATCAGGACTGAATAGGGCATATTTAAGGAAGTATAGTCCCCTACCTACACCCTAAACCCTGGACCAACGCTAAAACCTACCCCTCCAAAGGGTCCCTATGAGGAGACGCTTCGGCAGAAGTTTCTTCATGTCTCGCGTAGTCTCCGGCCCGGTGAGTGGTTCGTAATGACCAGGGCTTTAATAATTAGAACAGGGGTTCCTTCAAAGGGATCTTAAAACGGGTTATCACAAGGGATCTATTAAGGTACTATAATAATTTGCGGGCCGTAATAATTAGAATAGAGTTTGTTTGGGGGGGTGGTATATTATACAAAAACTTTAATAAGGAACCCCCAAAAATAGTATAGGTAGTTAGTTAGACCCCTATAGTAATGACCAGCTGGACTGTCTGCTGAGGATGTGCATGGCGACTTGGAGACAGATCTGAGAATTCTACCCAGAGAGCCCAATACCCCTTAATTAAGGAATATATATATATATATATATGTTAAACCATAGTATGAAGCCCTTTATGCTTAATTAAGGACTATTGGGCTCTCTGGGTACTCCCTTGCGTGTTCAAGCACGAGGACATTCCCAAACGGAGGGATGCCGTGCCTGCGCACATGCGCGGCTGGAAGATATCTGTGGTTGTCAAAATGAGGGTCCCTTTTTGGGTATCCTAAATAATAGGTGAGGTATTATAACAGGGATCCAAAAAGGGGCCATAATTTTGGCAACCACGCATATTGAGAGCTGGCTCTGTATCCGTCCATAGTGCCGTGACTTCTCCAGCAGCTGGCTGCATGTTATTGCACGGATTAATACAAACCGTTTCGTTGTTGCGCTTACACCTGGAATATAGTTAAAGGGTCATGGGACTTAGTAACTAGGGTTATAATTAGGGTAACTATACTTATAACCGCGATTAAGGTACTTATAACCTTACTTACTAAGTCCCATGATCCCCCAAGTACACGGCTTTCCAAAAACTTGACACACAGGGTTCGGAGTTTAGAGCTTCGGTACCGGAATTTGAGGCTTGGGCTTCAAGCTAGTTGTTCAGGAACAGCAGGCTCCTTTCCAAAGTTTCGAATCTAGTCCGGAGCTTAGGAGTGAGAATAGGAGTGCCTTGAAATCTTGAGGTTTTGGGTTCACAGTTTGGGGTTTGAGGACATGTAGCGCTACAGCGCTAGTAAAGGGCTCTTCAAGCTTTGAGCCTATTTTTGGGCAGGGGTTCAAGAGTACTCGAAAATCTCAGGGCCTGTGCTTGACCATAGCAACATGACCAGAGCAAATC